ATTGAGGCTAGACAATATGATGTGAATAGCTGATTTATCATCTAAAGCAGCATCCATTTCAGATAATTCATCAAGATCTTGAAATATTTTGTCAAGATGATCTCGTATAGGTTCTCCCTTTTTTAGCTCATACTTATGCAATCTTTTCTTAATTCTAATTTGATTGGATAAGCTTGAGCGTTGGTGATATTCTTGCAATTTTTTCCAAGCATCTCTTCCACCAGTGGCTTTCTTGACATGGATCAGTTGATTATTTTCAACGGACAAAGCAATCCATTGAAGTGCCTTCTTATCTTTCTTTAAGACATCATCTGCCAAATCTGCATCATTTCTCAACTCGATTGAGTCATAACAATCTTCCTTTTGAAGAAGCATCATCATCTTGAACCTCCATGATAAATAGTTAGTATTATTCAATTTTTCGATATGAAAAATTGATTTCTCAGATGTTGAAACAGAGCTGCTTCGTTCTGGGCCCATAACCTGTTGTTCTTTCATGTTGATTCTCAATCAGTTTCCTTTATTCGAGTTATATGCTCTTTTCTGACGAAATAAATCTTCTTTTGCAGTATAGACTACACAGCTAAATACTACTGAAACAGAAGAATACTTCACTCAATGTTTGGAGTCTGAATTATAACTAGCTTTATTTCAAATTTGTCTGCTCTATTTATATCAAAAATTACATGAATGTTACATACAGTTTCATCAACTATTTGACTATCATAAATCATATGAATTATTTTATGACTTCTGTCAAGCTATTAAACATAAATTGATCATCTTTTTATTACTAAGTATTCGGTGTAAGCTATTAAACTGACAATCGTGCATTAACATGTTTATACTCGTTATTGACCTAATACTTACAGTTTTGGTTTACAATATTCAACAAAAACAATTTCATATTTGCCAAAAACCTAAACTAGTTGCTTTGTAAACACGGCATTTGTGAATTGGAAAGAATACCAAACACACAAAAAAAAAACTATGTTGATTCTTTTCATCATGCCAACAATTCAGCATTAACGTATGCTCAAAAAAAAGCAAAATTCTACAGAGAAAGCGGTAAAAGAGAAATAAATAAAGTGCAGTGTCTACAAACTTATGTTCAACATTTCGGTTTTTTTTCATGCACAAAAAAAATTCTTCCATTAACAATTCTGTGGCGTATGGTCATCAACAAAAGAGAGATAGAGGAAGAATGCATTGAAATGGATGAACAAGAAATGAGGAAAAAAAATTTAATAAAGTGAATTCTTTTGTTGATTTTTTTCTGCTTTTTGTGTTGTGGAAATTTGTGAAAAACTTTTGTCTTTTGTGCTGTTTGCTGGGATGGAGAGGACATGAAATTTTTTTATTGAAAATTTTCTATGTTAAATGCAGTTTTGGGTCCATAAATTTGATTAATTTGTAAGGAATTCAATATTTGGACTGATATTGGTTTTGGCAGAATGCAATTGATTAGCATCTGTTGCTATATACCCGAAAAAATCTTAAATTTCGACTGACCATTGTATTTACATTGACTAAGGTGACCAGATATTTTTTTGAAAAAATAGAGGACCTGAGAGTTAAATTTTATTCGTTTTCGTGAAAAACCAAGCACATGTTCAGCCTTTGAGTCGTATTTTGATGAGTTTAAATCCTTCGTTGAAGTTATGTAAATCAAAAAGCCAAGTAAAAGTGATGCAGCTTCTATTCAGCAGATCCAAGACCACTCATATGCACTATTGTCTGCATTGATGACTAGTTCTCCAAGAAATACAATTAATTACATCAATTCGATCCTCATTTCCCTTCAATTTCACTAAATATTGCAAAAAAAATATTCATAACTCCAAAGAACAAAGCACCTAACCAGCAGGAAGAATAAATATTGTTTCCATTAATAAACAGCATGTCACAGCATTTGTTATTTATTTACCTATGAATTATGCATTTTGCAATTTTCTCATCCTTCTTCTCACTTTCAATTCTATCCGCTTTCTTTTTATTCATTTCCCTAACTCGACAACATGCAATAGCAAAAGTTGCATGGAACAGCACAGAAAAAAATTCATTGCAGATCATTGCTTGACCATTATCGAAAATGAACATTGCAAAGTTGATGACATTGCTAGTCTGTGTGTTGATGGTGTTGTTAATGAACATTTAGAAGTTGCAGGAACAAATGTTTTTATGTTGTTGGTTACTTTTTATGCAGTATGGCACTAAGAAATGTGAGGTGAGGTAAGTTATGCAGAAGTATTGGAGTAGAAGGTGCACTAAGTTACCCTACCCAACTCTAATCTTCCTTAATAAACTTATCACAGGACTCAACTTCCCCAATAATCATTAAACGATCCCACTCATTCTTAATCCTCATCTCCAACCTCATCAGCATTAAAAATAAAACGAATTTTCATTTCTTCTTGGTCATTCCATTTCATTCTCACTTATTTTCGTGTATGTGGCATAAAAGGTGTAGCAAACAAAAAAAAATGTTCCGGCATGTGTCACCTGCTTTCTCTCAAGCATTTAAAATAAAAAGAAATGTAGGAGACGAGAAAAAAGAAAAAAATTAGAAAATATGGAGGAAAAACACATTATGGAAAAGTTTTTCCTTTTATTATTGTTGTTGTATTTACGCTTGAAAAAGTGTTGCACAACAAAAAGAAAACAGATTGTTATTCTGCTGTCCATAGAGTTTTTTTTTATTGTTGCTGTGCTTCTATTGTTTGAGCAAAGGTTAAAGAAGATTATTGAAGGTATAAAAAAAAAGAAATGGAATGAAAATTGAGGTTGTGGAAGTTCATACAGTCTTTTATTATTATTTAAGAGAAAAATGAAATAAATTGAGTGAATTGAGAAGGTTTTTGGACTTTAATGGACGGATTTTTTTAATGTTGTTGTTATTTTTATTTTTAGTGAAATTTTTTTCAGTAAAACCCGATCGGCACATATTGAAATTCACTGAAATATTTGTCAACCGGCGGTCGAGTTAATAGTATAATTAGAACCACGTGTCAGTCAATTGACAATGGCAGCCACGTGGCAACCACTTTGCATCCAGTTTCAATGTGTGCGGATCGGGAAAACCTTGTTTTTGAAGACTTAAATATTTACCAAAGCAAAGATGAAGATTAAAATGAGATACAGGACTAAATATAGCGCCACTGGTCCCTGCTGTTCAAAAATAAATTTCCAAAATTCAGTAAATTTGCCAATTTAAAATTTAATTGTTCTCCTTCTTTATATTAAAAGCAAAAAACACATTAGGGGTCGTTCACAAATGACTACCGAAATTAACGGTCATTTTTCAAAAAAGAACACTGGAATTCTAGGAACTTCAATTGTTTTTTTCTTGCTGACCATGAACCCTAGACGTCATAAGTGAACGGCCCTTTAGGAAGATGAAGCACTTAAGTATCGAACGTTTGCAATAAAATCTAAGAGATTAAAACAATTTTATTTATCAATAATTACTTCCTAATGATTACTTCCGTAGATAAAAACTCTTCCGGTGAAATTGGAAGTTGATTAAAAAAAATTCTTATCAAATTTTTTAAGGTGCGGAAGTAATCTTTGAGTTAAGTAATTGACAAGCTTTATTTAAGTAAAAATAAATATTAAGTATTAAGACAGCGAATAACTGTATTACTCAATATGGATAAGCGAACCTATTACGAAAAATTGATATCAAATTCCACATTTGTCGTTTCTAAGAAGAAGTTATAATAACATAAGTTATGCTGTAGTTTTCTGTACTTTTCCACGTTTTCTTATCTTGACATTTTTCGTAAAAATCTTTAAATAAAATTTATGCGTTTAAATTAAGCCAGCTTGAGTATTTAAAAGGAATTCATGAACTATCTATTTCGTCTAGATTATTTCCTTTCCTGTAACAAATGTTATAAAAATTTGAGAATTATAATTTTAAAATTTAAATTGCAATTATTGCTGCTGGTTGCCTACATCTAGAGCTTCTCAAGAAAACGATTGTCTCTAATTCTGAAAAATAAATAACTTTTCTGAAGTGCTTGAAAATTTTAAGTTAAGAGCGAAGCTCAAGAATTGAAAAACTCAATTTTATTATCATTTTTTTAAAAAAAATTCTCAATTCATTTTATTACATATTTATCAGTCTGAAACACCGATTACTCAATGTAGAATATCGAGTGTTTGTTTTATTCATTCACACAAATCTTATCAATTATTAACAAAAAAAACATATTTTGCACTTATTCTTATCTTTTTAATAGCAAGTGCATTTCTAAGCACTTTTTGATCCTATAACTAAGAGATAACATTCTTCATTTTTATTAAAGGGGAATTTTCAACAAAAATAACACGTGTTAGGTATCTTGTGATAACTTTAGATACACTTTTAAAATCGTGTATGACTTAAAGCACCAGAAAGTGATGTTTTTCATGAATTTACTACTGAAAAAATTCAAATTCAAATTGTGGCATTGCACTGCTTATCTAAAGCACACCTAAGTATATTGCTGATAATAAATTCGTCAATTTGTAAATAAATAAGGCGCGGTAATTTCTTTTATTTATTTTAATACCGAAATGCAGCTTGTGGAGCAATAAGACTTTATAATGCTTTATTATGTTGGCTGTCCAACTACGCACTTTTGAGTTTGACAGGTTCACTATGTTGCCTTAGAAAACCTTAATTTTCCACTTTTGAACTTATTTATCTTGAACCTACTTTGAAATTCGGTCTGCCTTGCTGTCTCAGAGCTAAAATCGGGACATGCTCCGCTTTTGGACCAAAAATTGGCAAAAAGCGTTGGCTTATTATTATGTCCCTTTATGATCCATTGTTATTTAGATCAACGACTCATTCAGGAACGTTATAGCACCAGCACAGCCAAATTCTGTGCCAACCCAAAATTACCTAATTAGCACTAGCTGAACATCAGGCGACCTTTATTCAAATAATGTCTTAAACAAATTTCTATTCAACCTTCAACATCACTTTTAAATTTTTTCCATAAAAATATATGACATCCTCCTTGTTCTGTCTCGATTGTCGACAATGCAAATGCATAAATTCAGTTTTTCATTTCCAATCCTGCCTAGGTGTTAGAAGAGGATATTAAATTATGACCACACTATTTACTGACTTTCACATAAATCAACTGAGTCAGAAGGCAAAAAAGCATATTTCACATTGAAAAAAAGTTGTTTCATGCTTTCTTTTTTAGTGTCGCCATTATTTTCACTCAAAAATGATGTTTCCGCTTTTAAATTCATCTCCTTATCTTTATAGTCCATCTTAATGTCCATTATGTTGCACATACACGTGCTGATGACATTTTTTTTAAAAAGGAAAATGAAAATGTGCAACCATTAAAACTCAATAATACGCCGGCATCTTTGTGAACGATCTGGTGTTCTATTGTCCTTACATTGTACTTTTTCTGGCGGGGCTATGATGATTCCACCAGCCACTAGTTGCGGCTTTAAATTAACATAAATTACTCTCGTTGAATTTGCTATGCACGCAATACTTAAGAATAATGTTAAATATATTAAAAATATTGGAGTTGATGCCATGTTTTTGTACACTTTATGACTCGGCCGAAGTTAAACTTGGAATGAAAAGGCAAGCATTTAAGTAGTAGAGTCTTTTTAATATTTTATCAGTTTATTGATTAGGAGTTATCAATTGTGCGTTGGTGTTGGTGAATGATAAAAATTATTGAAAGAATTGTAAGTGAAAGTTTGGGATGCAGAGGTTGGAAATGTCGGTTATAGATTTTCTGAGCCTGGATTTAGTGCAGATTAGCTTAATCTTATACGAAAGAACATTTATTTATAGTTGAGATAATAGTCTTGGGTTTGTTGCATTGGATGTTTGCTTTGCTTCCTTGACTGGGGCCTACGTAAGTCTATTGTCGCGCTTAGAGATCGCCTGAAGAAAGCTCTATTCTTAGAAACCTTCTGCTAGTTCGGGATATTAAGAACTTTAGCTTGTTTCAACACATACAATCCACGAGTTCTTCGGTATTCTTCTTGATCTCTTGCCATCCATCTTTTGCATAAGATAGACTTCTGAATTCTGTTTAAATGTTGCGTATATTCATGAGTTTGGCCAATTAACCAAAATGTTCTTAAATGACTTGTTTATTTTTGTATAAAATTTCTTATCAAAATAAATAGTCAATTGATTATACAATTTATTTTTGCAAAAAACTCCTATCTTTTATTATGAAATATTTTAAAGATAGGCAATAAGAAGATAACACGAATAACGTCAGCCACATTTAAGTAAGTAAATTTATCGATGTGTAGATGAGATGCTATGAGTGAAAATTGTCTAGAACAGTTTAGGATTAAAGTTTGGTATCGAGAATTTTAAAATTTTAAACAAATTGACTCAGTATTCTCATGTGTAAAGGACGCCGGTCCAAGTTCGAATTTTAAGCTAAAACTTGGCATGTTTGAGCATCCTCTCGTTTTATTTTCCATCAAAGCTTTGAGTTCCAGATCTGTTCCGCTGTTGGTTTTAGCTATAAATCGACTTGAGATCGAACATTAAGAAGATTCCACATTTAAATTTTGGAGATCAAGAAAAATAGGAATTGAACCGATGACATTCAAGTTAAATCATATTAAATTCGAACTGAGCCCTTTCCTGACAAACCCAAAAAGACAGTCAACTGCTTAAAAATAAAAGTTCATTCAATTTACTCTTTAATTTTCATTGAAAATTCCATTTTATTAAAAATTCTACAATTCCTATATTTACACTGTATTACTTAACTTAATAACATAATCATAAACTTTACTTAATAGTAAATTACATAAATTGCTAAACTTACAAAGAAAATTCTTTTCCATAAAAATTCCATCAAGAAGTAAAAAAATTTCTAAAGAAAAACTTCAATAGCATTTTCCACAACTCTCTTTAAAATGCCGCTATTGCTGTACTTGCTCACTTTAATCCAATATTTTAAACCTCACTTTCTTCTCGTTTCTATTGTGCTTCCCCTTCAATGCCGTAATTCCATAAATGTGACGCTATTTTCTTTATTTAATAAATATTTAGACGATGATAAAGCTTAAAGTAATGGAGACAAATATTTGTGGTGACTCGGGGAGTTGACAACAATGACAAAAAATCTACAAGAAAAAAAAGGTTGAATTTATGAACCACTAAAAAAAGTTTTACTTTAATGTCTAGGGTTGGAAACTTTTCAAGTGATTTTAGTTGAGTTTAATTGAGCGAAGGCTAGGAAGTTCTTAAAAACCTCATTTTATAATGGACATCACGGCTGTATCTTAGTATTGCTGAGTTGCTTCTATGTTTAGATCAAAAGACCTACAAGATTGTAATTTAATAAAGTCTACGTTGTGGATGGTTGAAGTGAAATCTAGACTAAGTGTTAAGCCAGACAAATTGTAGAAAAAAAATCAATATTTAAAGAAAAGTTTCCATCCCTTGACACCATTACAATAAATTTTAATCCCTCCTCAGACGCGGCTTTAATGCTCACCTGTTGACTATTTATTACTAAAGACAAGCTTCCGACAAATGTTCCTTCTGTCAAGGACAAGACCAGGTTTACATTTCATAGGTGCATTGATTATGTGTGACAAATGAACGGATGTACTTTCAGGCGGTGGTGTCGTCACCCGAACATAAATATTATTTTCTGTATTTCTAGTTGTTCTACAATTTCTGCAGAATATTAACTTGGCACTGCCTGAGATAATAATTGAATTAAAGATGAACAAAAGAATTAATCCGTAAACTAAACATTTATTTTGACTCGATGTCATTTTTTTTCAACTCGTGTTTATTCACAAAATTTTATTTCAGGACTGAGAATATTGTTTTATTTCATGCGGTTTATCTCAATCACTCACATTTCAGCACTCAGTTTATTTGTTAATACAAGACAAATACACGAAAAAAAATATCTATTAAAAAATAAACTTTTTTTTGTTATCAGCCACAATATTTTATTATGATTCCCCTCATTCTACGCCTATTTCGCGATTAACTCTGAGAATATTTTCTTTTAAAATAAATTTACAAAAAAAATATTCAATGAGAATTTGAGAGCGGCTTGTGCTCTTGTTTGCCGTGCTGATAAGAAAATTAAATAAATTAACACACAAATTAAGCAATAAAGAGCACTGCTGAGTCTTACGAGAGTGGGAGAATAATAAATTTTTAATTTGCTCAAGTTTTTATTATGAAACAAGAGAAATGTTTGTAAAAATGACTGATTGATAAAAAATTTGAAATATTCAGCAGGTACTCACATGTCGTCAATATGATAAATGAAAAAGTGTCAACGTTGAATCATTAATGTTTTCTGAAGTGGGGTATGGATTGATAAGAAATCATATGATTCAATATTTTAGATTTTATTATTTTGTAAAAATTTGTGAGAAATTCGATAAGAATTTTTGGGAAACGCTAAGTGGAAATAGGAATATATTTATAACTGCAGACAGTACAACTGTCATTGTATATCCCGAATAGCACAAGTCAATGAAATTTTGTATAGAGTCAACTCTGCCATACAAAATCGACATAGTTCTAGCATGGTGCTGAATTTGATTTGTGAATTTTGGCTTAGATATAAATCCAGTGCCATGCCAAAGTCATACGGACTTGGTGCTGGATATCTGATGGATTAACCGACTTGTGCTATTCGGGTGACTTGTGCTCTTCGGGTATAATTCTAAGATTGATTATTAAGCAGAATTATTTTTTTTTATAAAGGTAAAGTTCAAAAGAGAAGGTTTATTTGGTATATTTGGTTCCTTCTCCAAACCCTCTAGCTACACCACTGATCCTAGTCATACTTTTGTATTGAATCTGATTCTTGAAAACACCTGAAAATGAGTTTAATTTCATAATTAAATCAATTCATTTCTGATTGAAAATTTCATCAGAAATATCAAAAAAAACTGACTCATACCAATTAATCAATACAATTAAGCGCCAAACGAAATCCCCACTGGCATTTTCTAAAATTATTGTTTTATCAACTCACTAAAAATCACGGTGATAGATAAAAAAAAAATAAATAAATCCTCTTGCAACTTTTCTTCTATTTATTTGCACTGTGATTTCAACTTGGCAGATTTATCAAATCGACTGATAAAGAAAAACAAAATTTGATAATATTTTCGGTCATTAGAAAGGTGGGATAACTTTAGAAATGTGGAAACAAAGCTTCAAGATTAGTTGTGAAACATGCAGAGGCGAAGCTAGATCAGATTGCTTACTAAGGTACTCAAAACAGCTGAAGAACTCCACAAAGACCTTTAAGTTGGAATAAACAAATACTTTACATTCCACATCTATGCTAAGCTATTGCAACTCATGCAATGTTGTGAAATAGGACACTTGATTTGAACATTCAAAGTCTAGTTAAATACCAAAGCCGGAGTTCCTCTATTGAAATTACATCAGAATTTCATTGCTCACTGATAAAATTGAACATATTTATTACTTTTAAACGTGAGCTTTGATAACAGATTGCAAATTATTTCTGATGAAATTCCTAGATTTCCTGAACGAACTGAATCCTTTATTAAGTTAATCAAATAGCAGGAAATCTTCAATAAAACTCTTCTTCATCAACATTGTTGCATGACTCACTATATTAATTTTCAATGTTAGCAAGTCGTTAGTCATGAGTCCAACATCTTCTTTACTTTCTCAATCATCGTTAGCTGAGCGCAGAAAAAAATATAAAGAAGAAAATTAAATAAAGGATAGTCAAGTCTTCATAAGCATCGCTTCTTGTTCTATTTATAATATTGCACTTTATTAATTCTATGATCATAACATAACATTAAATGCTTCTACATCTACAACAGTTTCCCGTTCAAATATTCGATGAAGCAAAGCGACATCATCAACTCTAATGCAGTCAGTTACTTTGTTTCACTTCATTTTAATCTTAAATAGTCGAGTTTTTCTTAGTGAAGATTCCTTAAAGATAGACGAGCACTTTTCATATACACAATTTTTTTATCTCGCAATTTTTCGACATCGACGATGGAATGTTGGCTCAAATAACATCGACGAATCGATCAAATTATATCCTGTTAATCAGCTTTTATGACCATATTTCAGCGGAAAATTAAATTACTGTCGAATAAAACAAAATGTAAACAAATATTATCAACTCGTATAAAATCTTTAGACGACTTATCCAAATTCAAAATTTCCGCTAGAATCGATTGTGTAATTTATCACATGAATTTCCTCAATTTAATCATTTCAAACCTGCTTGATGATCAAGTAACAAACAAAAACCAGAATACAAAATCCGTGAAACCATTAGAATAGCATCAGACCTTTAGGTGAACTACATGCTTTATTAATGGACGCATAAATGTAGAAATCGTGTTCTTTTTGAATCCACACGCAAGCGCTATGAAAGCGAGTTGTTTTGACAAACAAAAGTCCTTAATAGCACTTCCACCTGCCTTGAAGGTGCTCGCTTATCGAATGCGCCAATACGAAAGCGCTACATGTATGTTAGTCGTTAACTACAATTTTCTTTTTTAAAAAAAAAAAAATTTCGATTGAAATTTACTGGTTTTATTGAGATTTAAAATTATTTGGGTAATGAAGCGCCGCTGCTTTATACCTTTTGAATTTTAAAATAACGTATGTTGCTTGATTAATCAACGTGTTTGATAATGAAAATAAGATAATTAAAACACAATGATGAGAAGAAAAAGAAATAGCTGAATACCTTGAATTTTTTTATGGAATAAGATGAAAATGGTCATAACTTGAATATCGTAATTACCTATCTCGATCAAAATAAAGAATTATTAATTTTATAACACTTATGGCTCAGCTTGGAGCAAAAATTATTTTAGTATATGGGTACAGAATCCAATTTTAATATTGAATTTAATGTAAAGCATCATAATATTTTGCCAAACAATGTTCACAGACTTTCTTTTATGAATTTCCTCTATTTGAATGCTCAGTCGTTACGCAATTCATTAACAGACCTGCAAGACTTCATTAATAGCTTAAATTATCAAATTCATGTAGTTCTAGTGACAGAAACTTGGATTAAAGATAATGAAAAAATATATTACAATTTAATAAACTTTCACGCCTTTCACTCTACTCGACCTAACGGAAATGGTGGTGGAATTTCAATTTTCATTCACAATAATTTCGACACAGGAAATATACTTTTTGAAGAATCTATTAATAACAATAATATACTATTAATTTCTCTCATCAAGCATCAGTTGAACATAGCACTTTGTTATCGTCAACCAAACAATCCACAAGACTTAAATTGTTCACTTTTCTTGAATAAATTAGACATATTATTAAGTGCTCATAAGAAAATTATGTTTTTTGGTGATTTCAACATCAATATTTTTAATAATTCAACAACAACTGACGACTATAAAAACATTTTGCAGTCTAACGGTTTAACCTTTGTAAATAGTTTATCACACGAATTTCCGACCAGAATAAGTCACAGGTTTAACTCAAGCACGTGTATTGATCACATTTTTACAGATTATATTTATCATAGAAATGATTTGTTGTATAACGTTTTCTATTTTGATAACATTGGTGATCACAAGAATATAATTTTAAATCTAGTAAACGAAAAGCATGAACATGAAAAATTAGAAATTAAATCATATAAGAAAATAAACAATAATCACATTGCTAGCTTAAAATTACTTGATGAGATTAATACAGATAGCTTTGATACGTATATCGATGAGATCCAAAAAATTATTATTAAAAACACTGTTGAAATAAAAATTAAACCAACAGGAAGAAAGCCATTTGTTAGTCAGCGAATTCTGAATATCATAACAATTAGAAACAAATATCTAAAATTAAAATTGAAATTCCCGGATAGTAGCTATTTTAAAGAGAGATTCGATTATTACAGATCATTGAGTAAAAAAGAAATCCGTAAAGCGAAAAAAGATTATTTTGATGAGCAATTTGCGAAAAATATTCAAAATCCTAGAAAGACATGGCAGCAATTAAATACATTAATTTATAATAAAACATCAAACTATAATTCTACATGCTCATTATTAGTTGACAATGGAATATCGATTACTCAGAAAGAATCTATTGCTGATCATTTGAATAATTATTTCGTTAAAGTGTCTGATGAAATAACAAGTAAAATAAATATTAATCAGTCAGAACATGAATACATAATGAGTAGCGAAATTTATCATATAAAAAGCACTTTTGCATGCCCAGCTGTCACAGAAGATGAAATAAAACTTATAATTGAAAATCTTAAATCATCAAATGCTCTTGATATATATGGGATGTCCAATTCCTTCGTAAAATTTCATAAAAACTCGCTCTTGCGTAATCTTGCTAAGTTAATAAATAAATATATGTTTCAAGGAATCTTTCCAGATGTCTTAAAATTAGGTATAGTAACACCAATATATAAAAATGGCAGCAAAACATCTTGCAATAATTACAGACCAATTACAATAAATCCTATTCTAGGTAAAATATATGAATATGTGATTTATAGACGTTTTCAAAATCACCTAGACGACAATAATGTAATTCATAAAAACCAATTTGGTTATGTAAAGAAATCTAATTGTGAAATAGCTGCAGCACATATCTCCAATGACATTTATAGCCTAGTTGATGAAAGAAAATCAGTTTCTCTTACATGCATTGACTTGAGTAAGGCATTTGATTGCATTCAATTTCCAATTTTAATAAAAAAGTTACGCAAATTGAATCTTGAACCTTTTTTCCTTAATTTACTAATTTCATATTTGAATGGAAGGAAACAGGCAGTTAAGATTGACGAAAGTCTTAGTAAATTTTTGTTAATAAACGTAGGCTCGCCTCAAGGAGGTGTCTTATCAGGTCCCTTCTTTGACTTATATATAAACAGTATATTTAACTTAAATCTTAGCGGTAATTTATATCTTTACTGTGACGACATGTCTCTGACTAATGAAGGAAATAACACAAATGAGCTAAAGACAAACATTGAAAATGATTTACAATTAATCCAAAAATGGCTAAACAATCATTATCTTAGTCCAAATATTGCGAAAACCAAGTATGTACTATTTCAAGGAAGGAAAAGATTTGAAAACTTTACGGAACTAGCTTTAAATATAAATTTTAATGGTCGAATCATAGAAAGGTCTGAAAGTTTAAAAATTCTTGGTCTGACCATTGATGAGACAATGTCATTTAAAGATCACGTTGATGAATTGAAAAAGAAAATTACACCATTCATATATGCATTAAGACGAGCCAGAAAATTTATCACTGATAAAACAGCAACAGAACTCTATTATGCACACGTGCAGTCGCATTTTGTTTACATGAGCACTATATGGTCTGGACTGTCACTAGGTCTAATGAAATCTCTAGAAATCCTACAAAGGAAAGCCTTGCGAATTGTTCTTAAAAAAAATTGGTTTGCTGGAAAAGATGTTTTATATAACATTAAACTACTACCTGTCTCTGTAATCTGTGAGACAAATTCTTGTCTGCAAGTTTTTAAAATTAATAAAAATATTATTAAAAATAATGTGGAGATAAGAGTAGGGAGTGACATTCATGGTCACTCGACAAGAAATCGTGAAAATTTTGCAATTAAAAAATGTCAGACAAATCATGCAACACAAAATTTCTATATAAGAGCTTTTAGTAAATATAACGAACTTCCTAAGCAAATTAAAGCATTTCACTCGCTGAGTATAATTAAAAATCGTCTTAAAGAGCATTTTTTGGAAATTTATTTTGATGCTAATTAAATTAAATTAAATTAATAATCAAATTTATATTTTATTTCTGCAATTATTAAACACGAATGTAAATTTATAACACAACCTTAAGGTTGATATGAATAAATGAACTTATAAAAAAAAAAAAAAAAAAAAAATACAAAACCGGGCTTGCAGCTTGTTGGTATATTGATTATTGTACTTGTTAGGGGCTGTGATACCCTCTCCCTCGCTAATCGCTCTCGCTCTTCTGAACGGATTCGCACTGCTGTTGTGTTCCTTGCAAATAGCACCTTTATTGATTCACCGTAAGCTACAAACATGCTAATGAACAGCCAAATGAGAATTTTTCTTAGATCCATAATTTTTTTTTGACTTCTTCCTCTCGACGCGACTAAGTTTCTTGTAATGAGAAAATAAACAGCAACGTGTGCTTCTTATGAAATTACTAAACATCAACTAAATTATCATTTTTTTTTTTGTAGATTCAATTTTCTGTGTGAGAACAAAATTGAGTGAGTAATGATTTTCGAAAGGAGAATTGAAGATTACGTGCGGACACATGTATAAGAAATAACAAATGCTTATCAGATAAGAACGGTCTTGAAGTATATAAAAAAAAAATTGATTGACTTGATTGAAGGTTGATGACGTATGGCAATGGGTTACCTTTGATGATATCGAAAATTATCTTTGATGTTAAATGTGAAAGAAGGTTTTCTGAGCTATGCTTCATCAGTAGTGTGGTACTCAACTCCTACTCCTTGTGCCAAAAATCTGTGTTATTGACGCTAATTTGATCTTGTTAAGCTCAAAAATTAGCCAAGGTTTGTTTACAAATTTGGTTGTTATTTAAATGATTGTAAATCTTGTTTATTCATCTTCAGCTTAATGCTTGTTTAGGCTGTTGATGAAAGGTCACAGTGTGAGCATCTTTAAAGTGGTGATTCCTTTTTTTATGTTTTTGGTGAATCAAGTTCCATAAGGTTTATTTGTTATCAAAAATATGAGGCTGTATACCAAGCAGAGAAGCTACAAATCTATTAAAAACCACTGTCAATGCTAATCCACAAAAGGTTCAATATCCCAACAATTGTTGAATACAAACAACTCAAGAACAGTTTATGAACCTTTATTTCCAAACAAAAATAATTACATCGACTTAATTTCTATTTAATCAAAAAAAAAAACAATAATTATTTCTCACAATTGTGTCACTTCTCTCAGCTGAGAGACCTGATTTGGTTTATTTTTAGTAAATTTTATGCATGCTTAATTTTGTAAAATTCTCATGAATTTTTGCTGATAAGATTTTTCGTACTTTGAATGTGTTTTCTTCGTCGTTGAGTTTTATTCAATCTTTTGCGTCTTTTCCTCGTCTCATCATCCTCGTCACTATATATTTCGTCACCAGGCAATTGATTATGGTCATTTTCATTGGCAAGGTCATAAGAATTCTCATCATAATCGTCGTCTGCTTCGTTCCCATTTTCAGTTCCATTGTCATCATCGTCATAAATGTCAGTGTCTGTAATAACTTCCGTTGTCGTTTCTACATCTTTTTCACTTGTATTAATCGAATTTGTTTGATTATTTATAACTTGAACATCCGTCTCCTGTATGACAATCATTGGAGGTTTTATCGTCGTTGGCAGATGCTTTGTTACTTGTACGTTTGGTTTTGGTTGATTTTTAGGCCAGTTGTAAAGTTCTGTATAGTCTGGATTTTCATTTTCTTTTGGATTTGGTCGAATTGTTGTTTTTGTTGTAGTTTTTATTGGTCTGACTGTAAACATGTTGTCTAAATTTGGTGGACGATGAGTTATGGGATTTGGTGTAGTTGATAATGGCTGACGATTTGTGGATGTTGGATATCTTAAAGGCTTTGTTGTTGTCTCTACTGTTATCCTTTTTGTCGTTTCTTCTCTCTCAGGTGTCACTGAACTACAATTCATGTCTGTTTTAAATGCATCCTTACCCAAAAAATCATTCAATTCCTTCTCATTCTCAATAAAATTTGGTGGATGTAAATTAGTCTCGAAAATTTCTACAATTTGAACGTAATTTTTCTCGATATTTTCCTTTTCATACCTCCGATAAATCATTCGACATTCTGTGTACATAATTATTGATAAAATTAAAGATGAAAAAATTATTTTTGTCATATTTGGCAGTGGTTGATGCTAAACTGAGGATGAGTCTAAATTTTATATTTGTTCTCAATTATTTTGACGTGATAACCCTCATGTGACATAACTTGTGCTGGGAGGAGGAACTGATTTGAGTAGATTTTGATGTTTTTAATATTAAGGCTCTTTTGTTGCTGGTTCGACTTGATAAAAAAAATAAACTTGACCTTCAAACTTTTTTTTAGATGCTAAGAAGCTTGAGGAAATTTTAAAATCCTTTATTGGGTTTAGACTATCTTAAAAAGATAGAGTAAACTTACCATGATCTTCAAAAATTTTAATAATCAGCTTCCAACCCCTTTTCCGTTCATTCCTGTTACTCATTTTAATTTTACAAAATCCTCTAATTCTCTGTACAGTTCCTCTCATCATAATTAAAACTCATAAATTTTTCTACATCGTCCATTCACGAATTGTTGACCAGACGAGCAGACGAGAGGTGCGTCAAAAATATTTCCCAAAATATCCGGTTCATTCGTTGTCGAGAGCTGCTCAGCTTTCAATTGAGGAATTTCACTAGCTGTGTTATGGAATTCCACATAATATGGCACGAAGTAGAAGCAATTCCAATAACAACAGATTGTTGGCGGAGAATTCACACTCGAAATGATTTGAAAAAGTAAACAAAATGTGAGAGAGAAAATTTTTGTTTGCATTGTTTACGCTTGAATTACTGGAAATAGACTAAGTGAGGATTGATGATCGAGATAATTTTGAGTGAGAAATCGGAGAAGAGTTTCTGTGGAAATTTATGAGAATGAATAAGTTTTTAAATAGAATTTTTTAATTGAAGTTAATATGCTTACATAGTAATTTGCATGTCTGAATAGATTGAAGTGTGTAATAGCTTGAAATGTGAATTGAATTTTATTGATTTTTAAATATTTGCAGAATTAGTTTTGGATGTTTTATTTTGGCTAGTTGGAACGTGAATCATGAGATTTTGGCTAGTTGGAGCTTGAATCAAATATTATTGATGTTAAATCACACGAAAATTCAGTTTATTGAATGTTTTGTAAGTTTTATTAAAAATCAATAAGGTATAATTTAATTAGGTACACCGATCACAAAATCAAATAATGTCATGGATATGAAGATAACAGAGAGTTGCACAGTTATAAAGAATACTAGTCAAAAAACACCAATGTCCTGCATCTTCCCGAAACATATCGTTGGCCTGGTCTGCATTGATTTGGAGCAACTAAAATGTTAATTGCCTTTGGCTTTAAGACTCCTTCGTATTGTTCTTCTTCTTCTACATTTTCTTGATTTTCTGGTTGCTGTGCATCTAGAGAATTTAAGAACACAGTTTATTATGTTATTTTTTGTTTCTTGAAGCTTTGGATCTGTCATTAAGCAGGACATATGCAAAATCCAAATGAAATAAGTTCCTCTATAGACAATTTATGTGAATTTGTAACTGAACGGTCTTAAAACTGTCATAAATCACTTCCTCACGACTATCAAGCCAGTCTCAACTTATAAACATCCTTTTTTTTAACTTACCATTTGAACTTTCCTCATTTTCATTCTCAGCTTCATTACTTTGACGTTTTCTTCTAGAATTTAAATCCTCACTCGGATTGTCTTCACCTTTTTCATCTGCCGACATTCTTACATCGATTCCATAATCAAGATTTTCATCTTCATTCACTTCCTTATTTTTTCGAAACAATTCCTTAAATATTTCCATTTTATTGCGCATTCTATCGCGAATATTGTTGAGATTCACATAAAATCTCCTTGATTCCGCTATCAACGTGCAATTTGCGTTTTGTATTAATTGAACAACCTTATCAGTGGATGTTTCTGCATCCTTGCATTTACTCGACCATAATCCATAAACTGAATTTGCTGTAAAAATGAGAGCAACTAAAATTCCAAAGAGTTTCATAATTGAACAAATTTTTTTGCACTTGATCGATCTTGTACAACTCAAAGACTGAGAGCAGAAGTGCTCATAAATGCGAAAAATTCACATCTGAGAAGATTTTTTCTTCTTCTTCTCTGTTTAAACAAGCAGCAATGATGATTTTTTTTGCTCTGTTGATTCACAAAACGTGGGGATTTACAGCTTTTTATATTTCCATACTCTTTTATTTATTTTTAACGTTCCTCAATTATTAAATTAGATTATAGAAATTTTTTGTTTATTTTTCGAGATTCTTTATTTTATAAAAAATAAATTTTCGGCAAAAATCAGCGTGAAATTTTGATTGACTTTGATGTTGTATAATTTAATTACATGAATTTACAAGTGACTGTTGTGTAAATGACCTTCAATAACACCCTAGGAGAAGTTCAACTGAATTATGAACAAAGCAATTACTTGCTAATTAAAATCAGTTGTAAAAAGTAGATCATTGCGAATGAATAAATACAAATTCACAAAGAACTAGGCTGCAAGGGTAATTTTGACACAAAAAAAATAAATTTTGTACAAATTTTGTATTAATTTATCTTAACAAATTCATTGAACTTCAACTTTATGCAAGTGGACGACAAATGCCACGAACCAAAACTTGTTTTTCTTTACAAGAAAGGGGTATCAATAAAATAAATCCAGCTGGTGGAGGTCCAAGTATTTCAGAATCGTCATTTTTTTCTTCTTTTTTGTTGAGTTCTAAAACAGTTTAAATTCAAAATTCAAAAATTCCTAAAAAATTCTTAAAACCTTTTTGCATGCAACGACTACAATATGATAATCCTACAAAAATAGACACTTTAGCTATTGAATGTGTAGACCCTATAACATATGATTTAATTATATAACAACGTGACCTTTATTGTTTACAAATTACCAGAGCTCGAAGTCGATAGCGTTCGAGAAGACTCAACTTCTCTCGAGTTAACTCGAGTTGACTCGAAAAAAGTTGAGTCAACTTCGAGCTCTGCAAATAACATCTGATTGAATTTTCTAAGAAAAGCAAGCGACTGATTAGAAATTAAAAAGCATTTTAAATTTGAATGCAAGCATTATCACTAGAAATTATTATTATTAAAAAAATGAAAATTTATTGACTTGTGACTCCAATTATCACATAATTGTGAGATAATTTTGTTTTAAATGGAAATTCCGAAATAAAAGTAAATACCTTAATACATAATAAATATGGAAATTTTCAAAATTGAGCCAAGTTCCATTTCCACTGAATTTCAAAATTCATAACTAATAAGAATCGTTTATTTATGACATCCAACAATGTGAAATGGAAAATAATAACTTAAAATATCTTAGACTGCTTCAAATTTACGTTCTTGGATGTCAAAAGTGAACGACCGAGTTCTACAATTTAATTATAAATTGTCTTTTATTCAGCATCAAACTAAAGCATTTTATAAGAATTAAAAATATCTTAACATTTAACTCATGTCATTTCAATAATCACATTTCATTTTTACAATTGATTTAAAACCGACGAGGTTAACATCAAGATAAATTCAGTTTGTTCCGACGTATATCATTAATTAAATAAAGGATTATTATTATTATTATTATTATTAACATTTATATCAAATTCCTAAGCACCAAACTTGTTATTTTAATCCACACACCAAATCAGAATTCAGCTCCAAACTAACCAGAGTTGCGATCTGTCACAGGTCAACAAAAACAGCCCACCTGTCACAGGCCGTTACCTGTTCACAGGTCAAATTTTTTCGCCTATCACAGGTCTGACCTGTCAAAGGTTCTACCTGTCACAGGTCGTTACCTGTTCACAGGTCAATTTTTTTCGCCTGTCACAGGTCTGACCTGTCAAAGGTTCTGCCTGTCACAGGTCGTTACCTGTTCACAGGTCAATTTTTTTCGCCTGTCACAGGTCTGACCTGTCAAAGGTTCTGCCTGTCACAGGACGTTACCTGTTCACAGGTCAATTTTTTCCACCTGTCACAGCTCTGACCTGTCGCAGGCCTCACCTGTGACAGGTCGTCACCTGTTGACAGGTAGAAAAAATCTACCTTTCACAGGTTTGACCTGTCACCTGTCACCTGTCACCTTTGACTATCGAAATTTTTTTCTTCTAGTGAAGTATAAAGATTTCAAACAAAATTCATCAATTTTTTTGCTTCCTCAAGTCACGGGTTCAAATCTCTTCGCAAGCAACTTTCTTTTTTTGCATTTTTATGATTTGTTTTTAAACTTTTTTGATATAACATTAAGTTTTATGACAAAGTTTTCCATTTTCATATTTTATTTCTTCACTTTCTATATTTTAACATGTATTTTAACTTTTTTCCATATATTTTCATACAAATTTAAATTTTTTTGTCATATTTTATCAATATTTTAAACATATTTTATTTTAACAAGCTGAAATCTGATACAAAGGCTCTTTTCCTAGATCTAGATGTTCTAAAATCGTAATCTTTGATCATAAAATGGCATAAAATATTAAAACTAGTATAGACTTTGTCATTCGAGACCGTAAAAAGTAGAAATATATAATAAATTATAATCCAAGATTACGATTTAAGAACATCCAGATCTAGGAAAAGTGCCTTTGTGTCAGATTTCAGCTTGGTAAACTAAAATATGACAAAAAAAAGTTGAATTTGTATGAAAATATATGGAAAAAAGTTAAAATACATGTTAAAATATAGAAAGTGAAGAAATAAAATATGAAAATGGAAAACTTTGTCATAAAACTTAATGTTATATCAAAAAAGTTTAAAAAAAAATCATAAAAATGCAAAAAAAGAAAGTTGCTTGCGGTGAGATTTGAACTCGTGACTTGAGGAAGCAAAAAAATTGATGAATTTTGTATGAAATCTTTATACTTCACTTGAAGAAAAAAATTTCGATAGTCAAAGGTGACAGGTGACAGGTGACAGGTCAAACCTGTGACAGGTAGATTTTTTCTACCTGTCAACAGGTGACGACCTGTCACAGGTGAGGCCTGCGACAGGTCAGAGCTGTGACAGGTGGAAAAAATTGACCTGTGAACAGGTAACGTCCTGTGACAGGCAGAACCTTTGACAGGTCAGACCTGTGACAGGCGAAAAAAAATGACCTGTGAACAGGTAACGACCTGTGACAGGCAGAACCTTTGACAGGTCAGACCTGTGACAGGCGAAAAAAATTGACCTGTGAACAGGTAACGACCTGTGACAGGTAGAACCTTTGACAGGTCAGACCTGTGATAGGCGAAAAAATTTGACCTGTGAACAGGTAACGGCCTGTGACAGGTGATCTTTTGACAGAAACTGTCACCTTTACCTGTGACAGGTACCTGTCGTCGCAACTCTGCCTTCAGATTTGTTTTGTTCTTCTCCTTCATGATCATCTGGAAGTTCATCAATCTTTTCATTTTCTTCTTTCTCCCATTTTTGTTCTCGCTTTGTGCGAATCGTAGCTGATTCAATCTGCTGACCCGTTGCCTCTTCAGTGTCAGTGTGGTTGAAATTTGACCTTACATTAATATCATTCAGGATATAGTCACCGACTTTTCTATCTGATGAGAATATATTCTTGGTTTCCTCGTAGCCTTTGGTTATGAGATTCTTTGTTCCTACTCCGAAATCTATCAAGCCTGTTTTTACTTTGTCGATGATTCCTTGAGAATTTCGCTTTGTTCGATGACTGATTGAACTGCAGTTGATTGTGATTGTTAAAGTTGAGATAACAAAAATCAGCACAAAGCAATTCCGCATTTTATAATTTCTTTTTAATAGTCTTTGCTTAATGAAATTCAAATGTGAACTGGAAGTGCGAATAAATTTGATTTGCTCAATAATTGAGAGATTAAAATGAGAGAGATAATTAATTTTACACAGGATCACAAATATTGAGAATTAAAAAAGACTCGGACATTTATTCTCAATTCTTGGAGAGATTTCTTTAATTTTTCTGGAATTTTTAAAGGCTTAGCTTGGCAAGTTAAAGACCCGAATGGCACAAGTCGGTTAATCGATCAAAAATCCGGCACCAAGCTGTTGTGACTCTGGTAAAGTGCTGGATTTGAATCGAAGCTAGCACCATGCCAGAGTAACAACAACTTAGCTCCGAATTTCTATTCGATCAACCGACTTGTGCTATTCGGGAGATATTTTAAAGGAACTACTACACAATTTGAGTCTGAAACTTAACAGGAGATTTTAAATTAAGTTCCAGTCCACTAGTGTCTTCTGGACTAAATTAGACGTTTGAAATTTGTTTATTTACAGTGGAAATATTAAGTCTTATCTCTTCGATTATTAAAATATGATTCTCCTACTGGGTTGATTATGAATCAGGGGAACTACGGAACACTTAATTTAGAAATAAATGCAATTCATTTAATTTTAAAATAATTATTTTTATAAAGAAATATCCCGAAAGCGCACTTATCAATGTTACGTAACATCTGAACGACCCCCCAAAGTTAAAGTTATTAAATTATTTAAAATTTCAGACTTTATTAATGTATTAAAACTCTGCATCTTCCTTTAACCAGCACTTGACCTTCCTTGCACAGCATAGGAGGCAGAATTATAATTTGTCCATCAGAATCTGGTTCTGTGTCTGAATTCATGTTTGTTGATGCTACGAATAGGTAAAATAATTTTAAAGAATATAAACAACCAATATTAACAGATATTACCATTGTCTTCTTCATTATCAGATTCTTTAAATCCATCAATAATTACTGGAGTCTCTCGTTTTTTACGTGTTGCTACCGTTGTCGAATTATCCGCTTCTTCATCATCGCCATCGAATCTTACATCAATATCTCCTAGTGTATAGTCTCCGACATTTCGTTCACTTGAGAATAAATTCTTAGTTTCTTCATAACCTTTGACAAAGAATTTCTTTGTCTTTGAACCAAAATCTGTTATTCCAGATTTGACTTTGCTGAAGAAACCATCATCGTCTGATCTTTTAGCTCGATTTAATGCTGGTTCGTCAATAGAATAGCATTTGATTGCCACAATTATGTTTAAAGCTACGTATAATATTAAAAGAAACTTCATTTTCTTGATTTTAAGTCTTTATTCAGTCGATGTTCAGTTTGAATTGAAAGCGTTGAATATTTTAGACTCTCGAGGATGAATATTGAGATGAGCAATTGATGATTATCGTTTGATATTTTGAGTAAAGTTTGTCGAGCTCTCAGAGATTCTTTTTATGCTTTGGAGTTGTGCATTTTCATATGTGGTGATCACTTTGACTGATAACTAGGCAAGTTGTTCTATAGATAATTTATAGTTTTAAATATCAATATCTAACCTGAAAGATGACGTTTAATGCAAAAAAATATATTAAAACATTTTTTACACGAAAGTTAAAAATTTATTCAATAAATTTGGATTAAGATTAATTTACAAAAGTTTAAAAAATTCAATCATTTTCTTAGAACTTTTCGACAAACTTTTCTTTTGTCGAATTTCGATCCAGAAGGACATACTGTAAATCCAGTCAATATACTCTTGTATTGATAAGTATCGTCGTCAAGCGAAATTGGCTCACCCAAGCAACTATTGTCATCTTCTGCATACTCTAAACATGGTGCAAGTGTGGTTGATTTCAAACCTATTAAATCTTTCCAATATCGAAGTGAAAATATTTGAGTATCTCTTTTTATTCTTAAACTCCTGCCAGAAGCAATTCGATTGTCAAAAATTGAAATAAGCAAAAAAATTAATAAAATTTTATTCATTTTTTTTTTTGAATGAGATGTTTGAGTTTTGCTTGTTATTTGTTTACTGGCGAATATAATCAGTTGAATAAGAGTAATCTCCTTTTTTCCTAGAATTGAGCGGAAGTTCTCTGAGACACAATTTATATTCACTGAGAGGTTGTTCATAAATCAGGTCCAACAAAAAACAAGATTTGGCGGGTTTAAAACATTTTCTTCTGAGACTTCAAGTGAACTTCTATCCTGCATATGACATGTGTCTAGGCTTTGTTTTTATATAAAAAAGTGTTTTTTTTAAATCAATAATATTATGTTGCACTTAAATTTATTAAAAATACTTTTTGATTAAATATTGTTGCTTAATCAACACATACAGTTCTGTTCTAACATTGTTATGAATATCTTATTCCGCTTGTAAAGATAAAATGAATTGAATTGCGCAATTTTAAAAACATATAAATCCAAGGTAACATTTTTGTTTTGGCTTTGCTGTCGTTGCTTTAAAATCGTGAATTTTTCTGCATTTACCACTTTGATCCTTTTTATGTCCTATATAACATTTCCGAGGACACAGATCGCATTTGTCACCATAATTTGAAACATAAATATCACCAAGGCAATCGCCATCGTTTGAATATGCCTGACATTTTATATCTAAATTGTTCACCGAATTTGAAATATTTTTAATTGACCTTACAGATCGAATTAATTTGCATGATCCTGTTTGACGATGTATTAGCAGAATCATTAATATAATTTTAAATATTTTATTTGTTGATATCATTTTTGTTGTATTTTGAACTGAATTATAATGTGTTGACAATGTGATTACATTTTTAAGACTGACAGTGTAATATTTATTTTCAAAATTATAATTATGAAAAAGTCACATTTTCCTCTCATTTAATGTTTTAGATGAATCTGAAAACTAAGCGTTGTAATCAAAGTTGACAAAAAGATGGCGACAAGACTAATTATTGTATTTTTTAATTACAAGAACTACAGGGGAAGATGAAGATCTGATTGATAAAATATCAATTTAATCCAGGGATAGACAAACAATGCTCTACAAAATACTTAAAAATTAAAGGTGCTAAATTTTATGGTTTGGTACCTGACCACTAGTAGGATCGAGTAGGATAGATCCTAGAAGGTTGCAACATGTAATTTGAAAACCTTAAATTATACTTAATAAGAGAATGTAATATACTGTTGGAGAAATACTGGCTGTTTATCACCGACAGGATGTGGTCAAAGCTTTGTTATGCTCTATTTCTTTTGACTCAATTTGATAGTTTGGCAGGGAATTTGTACTTAACTTTCATTTGTTTTCAAACAAGCTGCGCATAGCGATTAATGCTTCATCATTGATGATTGAGAAAGTTGATAATTATTTGTTAAATGATTTATAATTAAGTTTTTAAAAAAACAAAATTAAGAATTTATCGATTATATGCTCTAAGTTCTCTCTTGCTTGAAGAGTACGAAAAATATAACATTGATACCCGAACGGCACAGTTGAATAATGTTCTGTCTGGAGTGATATATTAACACAAAATAGATTCTACATGAACACATCGGCTCCATATGACTTCCTATTGGTAATATATCAATCCGTTACGGAACCTTGACGGAACATTTCTCGATTGTGCAGCTCGGGATATTCTCTATAATAACATTAGTAATATAAATAGATATGAAGTGAAATTTAATTTATTAAATCAGTTAAAAAATCAAGCTTTATTCAAAACAGGAAATCAAATTTATTTCAAATTTTATGATTTGTTAAGTTTAAGAAGGTCAATTTTAAATTCTTTGAAGTTCTCTTATCATTCGTGTGCATTTCTCCATTATATTGTACTACTTTGGTCTTTTAAAGCTGATGATTCTTCGACAGAAGTTAGACTTATCCAAAATGGTTCCATCTTTGCATTTCTTAGAGCAAAACATGCATTTATATTCAACTAGTTCCTCATCAATAACGCCAAGACAATCTCCATCTTTTGAGTATGCTTGGCATGGATTTTCTGTTGTTGAAGCTGCACCAAAAATACTTTTAATCGAATTCCAAAAATCTGGAGATCGTTTAACTTTTAAACTTTTCGAAAATACAACTTCAATGTTGAAAATTGTAAAAATCAAAACAAAAATTATAGGAAATCTCATCTTTTAACATTTGACTTTACGCGTTAATTGTTTTTTAAAGACTGAACAGCTCAAAGATTCTCAAATGAGTTTTTTGAAAAAGATTCTCTCAAAGTTTTGATTTTTAACTTGATTTGCAAATGTTATATTAGAAATTGTCTTTAAATTTGTATGCCTTCTGCTTGTTTGTCCCTTTTATGAACCTAGAGATCAATGGTGAATCAAAGCTTAAAAATAATCCAATTTAAAAATCAACAAAATAGATAAAGGTTGATAACAAACTACAAGAATTTCAACTATCTTTTATTTTCATTTTTAAGAGAAAAAAAGTTGCTAAAGGAACACGAGCAGCTTATCAATTTAAAAATAACTAATCAATTAACTGATTGTTAAGCAGAATTTTATTTGATTATTTTCAATTCTGAGAGAATCAATTTTGATCATTCCTCGAAAATCTTAATAATTACTTCAATAGCCTTAAACTTTATTTGATTTTTGATTAACTGAGTTGGTTATGAGCTTTCGGCATTTTCCCAATCGATCCTGTTTACATCCTAATTTACATCTGCTTGTATTTTTGCAGAACACACATTTATATTCAATTGTTGCTTCATCTATATTTCCTAGGCAGTCACCATCAGCTGAATATTCTTGACATGGATTTGGAGTGGTTGTAGCACCAAAAATACTTTTAATTGAATCCCAAAAGTCCGGCGATCTTTTCATCTTTATGCTTCTTGCGAATGCAATTTCATTTTTTAAAACAGAGAGAATTAAAAGAATTGTTAGTATTTTCAAAAATGTACTCATTTCTTGGCTTTTTTGCGATGTATTTTATGAATATTCTTCTCTACTTGATGATGTTTCTATTACTGAGACTTATTATGTCCAACATTTCTCTTTTATAATTGATTCTCATTTGATTTTGCTCATTAAAGTTGTGTAATTTTTGTCATTTTCCTCGAGTACAATAACTTTTTGTTATACGTTTGCGATTGTTTGATAAGGAAGATAGGGAGTTTCTGTTTAACTGGTTAGCATAAACTTGTACTCTTATTTCAAAATTAACTCATTTATTTATATTAAAAAATAAATCTTATCAATAAATAAAAGCAATTTATGACTTTTGTTGTAAATACCAAAATTCTGTAAGTTTATTATCAATAAAATAAGTTCTACATTAACCCTGTTTTCCTGTCCTTTTAAGAATTTTTCGACATCTATAATTGATATCTTTAAAATATCCTGTTACACATTTTATACGTCTATTAGTGATGATACTCTTGTATTCTACTGGATCTTCATAGATGTCACCTAAACAGATGTCATTACCGTAATTATCTCTAACCGTTTCTTGACATTGGTTTTGTTCTTGACTTTTACCTCCTGATTGTTTATTTTTTACAGTCTTTGCAGATGCAAATAAATTTTTTGAAGCTCCAATAATTATGAAAATTATTAAAAATTTAAATTTTCTTCCCATTTCAAATTTATTTTTTAAACACGTTTTGATAAGTGCTGCTTACATGATGATCTGTTTTGAACTAAAGATTGAATTATTAAATTAAGTATCTCATTACTCTGAGAGAAATCAAAGTTGTAAGCATTGCTCAAAAATCTCTTTTATGTTTCGGTAAAATTTTGAATTTTTTAAGAGAATTTAATTTTAAAATCTGCTTTACCGAAATTGTTTATTATTAAATTATTGAGAAAATTCTATAATTAAGGAACACTAAAAATTACTATTTTGTTTGAACTTTCACCTTCATTTGAATGTTTATACCAGTTTGTACATGCAATAATTTTTGAAAATTTCATTTTTTGTAAACCTTCCGACAAATATTATTCCTGTCTCTTCGATATCCTGCTACACAAGGAGTATCAAAAACATTTCTTGAGTCAATTAAAGTTCTATTTGATATTTCAAACAATTCGTTCGTTGTGCTTGAAGGAATTTCTGTTGTATTTATGATTTCTTGAAATATTTTAGTTGATTTTTCTAATTCATCTTGTGATTCTTCTGTTGTTAAAGGATTTGTAGTTGAATATTCAGTAATAATTGCTGCGGGAGCGATTGATGTATACATCCCACTGCTTACTCGTCTAAAATTGAGGAACAGAACATTTGTTTATTAAATTCTGCTTTTATCGAAGATTCTTAGACTTTGGGTCATTCCAAAAAAACACAATTTTTGTTATTAAACACTTGAACGCAACAAAATTCTCGGGTAGAAATAAGTACAAACCTTTTAAAATCCAAATTGTTTAGTGAATCCGGGAATACAAAGTCCGATGGATATGCTAATAAACTATTATTCATTGAAAGTAAAAGGATTAAAATGTGTAAAAACATTTTATTTTCAAACTGCATCTACAATTATTGTCTGATTATTGTATTTAATTTCAGCTGATAAGAATAAGTGCGATTTGTAAAATTCTTTATATTAAACTGAACCAAATAAAATCTGAACTGCGAGAAAAAGGTGTTTTGAACAAAATTGAGAGATCATTTTTCTGTTTTTAAGTACGTAAGTGAGATTGATGAGAGAAGAGATTGAAATTAAATTAATAAAATTAATAATAAGAAAGTTATTTATTATTCATCATGTTTGAAACGAAGCATTCCTTTAAATCACATTTTAAGGCAGAACTGAGTTTAATTTTAAGGAATTCCCAAATCTTAATTTGTCATTATTTTTTTATTCCTTATTCTTTACTGCGTTTTCCGACACTTCTGTTTGATATCTTTTTTGTATCCAAACGGGCATTGTGATCGCAACATGGTTCTATCAGAATTAATATCTTCTTCTCTTAAGCACTCGCCATCATCTGAATATTCCAGACATTTATTTTTAACAGTAGATTGATCGAAACCTGCACGACTTAAAATTATTAAATTATTAATAAATTGATTTAAAATTAAAATTTTGCTTACCTTTTTAAGTTTGTTAAAATTGGATCATCAGGAAAAATAAAATCTGATGAGGTTTGAATATTAAAGACATAAAATAGTAAAATAAATGCTGTTAGTAAAATATGCCTCATTTTGGTCTCAGAATCTGTTTAGCACTGACAGTAAACTGAATGAAAACACTTATGAATAAAATTGAGAATGATTCTTACTCTCAATTTGTGAGTAACTATGTTATTACTATGAAAACTGCAGGGATGTAGATAATAAAATAAATTCAACATCCAATTTAATTTTATATAATTTAATTAAGTTTTCAGCACAAATAATCAGCAGAATGGTTTTTACAGGTTCTTCAATTATACATGTCTTAACCAGCAACTTTTCTGCATTTTCCATTTTTGTCTTTCTTATGTCCTGGTGGACATCCATTACAATTTGCAAGAAAACATCTTCTTCCATCTGATTCATCTGTGACATCGCTAGCACTTTCTGGTTTATCATCAGCAACAGCTGCTGTTTTATCTGTCGACTTTTCAGCAGGTTTATCTGCTTTATTTTGATCTGACTCCGCTGGCATTGATAACGCCTCAGCAATAAACACTGCAACTACAAGAAGCGCTAAAAATTTGATAGCAAAACTCATTTTTCACAGTATTTGAGACTAAAGCTTAAAATAATTTCAACAATAAATTGATTTTTTTTAATTTTCAAGGCATTTTATAGTCGATTTGCAAAAATTAATTACAAAATTTACTCAATTTAATTTTAAAACTTAAAAAGCATGACAAGTTTCACATGAAAGTAATTAGCCCTTAATAATTTGCCTTATTCTCCAATTCCCAATTCTTTTGTAAGTACTTTACGACATTTTTTATATTGATCTGTTTTGTGTCCAAACGAGCATGTTGAGAAAAGACATCTTTGACTCAAAGTGTCGTCCTGTAGTTCTCCCAAACAATCTCCGTCTTCCGAGAAAAATTCGCAATTCATTTTTGCTGATAACAAAACATTATCATCGGATTCTTTAGAACTAAAATAAGCTTTGTTTTAAGTTTTAGAATATTAAATGTTTTCTGGATTGCATTACCTTGCTGAAGTCTTCAAAATTGGACTATCTGGGTAGACAAAACTTGAATCAGTTCCCTTAAAAATTGACAAAATTAAAAATACAAAAACAATTTTCATTTCAAACTTTATTCGTGTCAAAGCTTAATGCAACTGAAGATGTATTAAAAAGTGTAAGCAAAAAATGATTTTTATTCTCAATTTTTGATTTAATTTGCGAGATTCTTGCAAGGGATGTGAAGTTAATAAAGCAAGAGTCTATGAATCAATTAGAAAATTTTTGAATATTATAAGTTGTTGATTTTGAGGATTAAATATAAGTTTGCTGTATTTTTGCATACAGCATTTTAATACATTCTTTTAATTAAGTTTTCGGAATAATATCATTTTAGTATTTCCGGTTATGGTGTACTTAGTTCTCGACTAATTATGAGATTGTAAAAATTGAAAGGCACACTATTAATAAAAAATTGTTTTTTTTTCTTAATGAACCTCAATTGACCTCGTTAGCACATGGGAATTCCCAAAACGTCTTTTAATGATTTTGTAAAATAAGTTCATTTTTTTGTCATTTTGTATCTCAAAGTCGGTGATCGATCGTCGTTTAAAATCATGACAAAGTCTATTCGGGATTTGTCGTTGCCGGTTCGCTAACTCCGAATAAAACTTACAACTTTATTTAAATAATTTAACTTTCAGAGTATGCTTAAAATCGATTATAGTACATGTTGGGGCTGTTCACTTATAACGCCAAAAGGAGAAGGGGGTTAGCAAGAAAATAACAATAGAAATTTCTGGAAATTCATTGATCATTTTTAAAAAATGACCATTAATTTTGAACGTCATAAGTGAACAAACCCTTTTTGAACATTATAAAAAAAAAATTTTTTTTTCTAATCTTGTGTGAACTGTCAGTTAAATCCATTGTAAACAAAATCTGATAACATTCAAGTACAAAAAAATGTGATTTTTTTTCGAGAAGCAACTTAATTTTGAGCTTAGTTTATGATTTTTGTGTGTTTTTACTTGAACTTCTTATATCATATACTTTTATGACTTTTCTGCATTTATTGCCAGGACCCAACTTATATCCATCTTTACACTTTTTCTTCGGACTCACTAAAAAGAATCTTTCTGATAGAAAATCTTCGACACTTTCTCCTTCTTCTCCTAAGCATTCTCCATCCTCGCTGACTTCTATGCATGTTTGAGCTTTCAACAAAGGATTCGGTTTTGGAGTCTTGCTGGAAATAAATTAAATATTTTAAACCAAAGCTTAATAATTGAAAATTTAAATCTTACTTAACAGTTTCTTGATAATCTTTTGAGTCAGGAAATACAATTTTACATGATCCAACTTCTCCAAATAGAATTCCAAAGAGAAATCCAAAAACTACAATTGCAAACTTCATCTTACTCTTTTTTACTTAATTTTTGAATTATCAAAACAAAAACACATTCGAAGTCTTGCAAATAAAATCAGAAATAAAACAACCCGGAATCAAACTCACAAACTCGGAATAAAGCTGAGAGAAATTTCAGTGAGAGTATTTTGAGAACATTTTGAGAATTCTTCACACGAGTGACAAATCACGATGATTTATTTATATTGTTGAGGCGTAAATAGACTGTGGCTGTAGATCATCTTTAAGAATAAAATTAAAAGTATCAACCCCCTTGACACCCCCTCCCCTGACAGATTTGCAGACTACATTTCTGATTTTAAAGTCTTTCTCAAAAGGTCAGAAATTGATCATTTGAGAATTTTTAATTCATTTGTGATCGTTGATTTTAGAATAAAGAAGACGTCTGAAGACGTGAACATAGTTATTGTTTCCTTACTAAACCTCTGCAATTAAGAATATATTTTTAAAAAAATAAATTCGATGATTAAATTTCTTTAAAAAATAATATTTTACAAAAAACAATTTTAAGCAGTTAGAATCATTAATATTTAAAACGTCAATTATATGATAGACTACCGAGAACTCAGCTTTAGAGATTAACAATTTTAGTAACAAATTTTTGCAGGAATCTTCAAATTAATCACAAAACTTTACGGCACTTATGATTTCTGTCACGTTTGTATCCATTGGGGCAGAGAGATAAACATCTGAAGCATCTTGATCCAACTCTTTTTTCTGTATCAGGTTCCTCTACACTTTCAGCTTCTTCTCCCAAACATTTTCCGTTCTCATCATAACCTTGGCAATTTTTTAATGAATTATGGCTGAAAAAATACTTCGAGCGATAGTAAAATCCTTAATAATTTTATTTAATTTTTATTTTTTACTTGTGGAACTGATTCTGTTCGTGTGAATCTTTAAATACAATATCAGATGAGGACACAGCAATAATTGTGAAAGACAGAATGACAAATATTGAAAATTTCATACTTTGAATATTTTTTTTCAGCACTTTAAAGATTCAAGAAAGATTTCAGACTAAAACCCATCGGAAAGGAACTGCCAGTGATAATTAAATATTCTCATCTTAGAACTTGATGATCTCTCATTGTAAATTAGCAATCTTTATTTATTAAGAGTTGTTTCATCAAAAATTGAGTGCTGAAAATTAAAGGGAAATCCAGGAAAGTATTTCAAAAAATTCCACACATTTTAATCAGCTCGACAAACTCCTTTTTTATTTCTTTTCAGACCACTCGGACATTTTACAGATGTAAATCTTAAAATTGTTATTTCCGTGTCGTCCGAATTGACAGGTTTGATGACTTGTTCCTCCACAAATTCATATTCTCCAATTTTGCTTACTCTCTCAGCTTGTACCAGTATCACAGATGCAATTAATAAAATAATCAAATTAATTTCCATGATTAAGTTTTGACTTATGATCACTGTCTCTCACGGAATTCCCGAACAAAATGAGAAGAAAATTCGCAATGAATTATCAAATTTATAACAAAACGTAAAAAGATGTTTTGGAGTCACTTGAAAAGTCGATGCTTCATGTTAAGACATGAATGAAAAGTTTTTTGACTCTGAAAGTACAGGTGTGAAGCACTAACGAGATGATGAGCAAATAAATGTTCTTTTATATGTGACTAGTGTCGTTGAAGAGGTAATTAATGACTCTTAAATTAAATCTTGACTTGTTTAGCATTTATTTAAATTTCAGGGTTGATAAACTGAAGGTGGAGTGTTGTGAATACTAAATGGTATGGGAAATAATAGTTAAACAAGTGTAGGCTACTTCTATACAGCTGCTCAACATTCATATAATATTAAACTAATTCTTGTTCCTCAATAAACTATGATAATTTGCTCCCAGCGATACAATACTTATTTTAAAATGAATTAACCTGAAATAAATTAACTAAAGCATTTTAAAATTATAAACAATTTTTCAATTTTAAATGAAAGTCTTTTCAAGTCAGAAGCGTAGCCAGGGATTTAAAGGGGGGTGGGTGAATAATAGCAAAATGAAAGATATTTCTTTTATCGGAGGGGGATTCTACCCCCCCCCCCCCCCCGCCCCCTTCCTTCCTTGCTACGCACCTGCTTCACGTTCTATATATTGTCAAAAAATTTATAAAAGTTTTAAAAATATACAATCTAAATTAATTCAATTTAATTTTTTGAACCTAATCAGCACAGAGACTGCATATGAAGCGCGTAGCCAGGAAGGTCTTATCCCTGTATACATTTTGAACCGAAGCGAGGGCACGGCCCAAAACGCTTAAAAGTGGGACAAGACCCTCCTGACTACGGACCTGCTGCTTATGAAAGTTTAACAAATCTAAATCCATACAGATTCTTGCCTTATCGTTTTACTCGGGATAATTACCAAAAAATTCAATATTAAATCCTAAAATATTTGAATCCTAATATTTTAACTTGATATTTGTCTCTCAGTTCCTCATATTTACAATTTAATCTCAATCTTCCTCTCTCATTCGAATGAGAAGGAAGTGTGCAAAACTAAGCTTAGTTGCTCAGTATTCTCACAGATAAATAAATAATCTTAATAATCACTTAATTGATGACTCATCTCATTTTTAGTCAACAACAACAGCGAGACGCTCTATCATAATTGTGAATTTACTGATTCATTTGTTTATCTTGCTAATTTCCTGCATCGTGTGCCAACTAGAACAAAACCTGTTTTACAAAGGACTGGCACATCGAAGATATTCAAATCTTTAAATCCCATTGTTGTCATTTCCTCTCCATTTTCAGATTCTTCTAGGACTTCCCCTGGTGCTTCTTCAGGAACATCAACACTTAGTTCTTCATGTCCAATTAAATGAACATGTCGAACAGTTGAAGATGATGTTGACGTTGTTGCTTTGGAACTAGATTCTTCTGGAACTTCTTCAGGAGTGTCTTCAAGTAGATGTGACAATGTTGAAGCTTCTGTTGTTGTTGTTGTAGCTTTTGAACTTTTACTTTTTAATGACATTTCCTTAAGTCTTCTATATTGATCCATTTCCGTACGAATCTTTTCTCTTATCGATTCCATATCGTCATTCTGATCAACAAATTGTATTTTATCATCCAAAACTTGTCTTCTTATGCACGCGGACTGCACTTGAACGACAATTAAAAGTCCGAAAATTGCCAAAATAAATCCATGCATCATCGAAGAAGTCTAATCGACCAACAAGTTACGAAACTGAGATAAAACTAAACAATACAAGAATAAAAGCACCTGTTTACATTCCAATTCTCACTCTCGCAAAACTTGTTCATTGTATGTCTCACAAGACTTGCTTAAATGACCTTAAAATTCACCGTCTCTCTTGATTTCTTTTGCTCAGTTTTTGTGCTGAGACTCTCGTTGCTCTGCAAAAAAATACTTGTTACTTTTTGGTAATTAAACTTATTCTTTTGATGTTATTTTGTTATTTTCTCATCGTACATTTTGAGCGCTAAGCAATTTGACCTTGCGAATGTCTTTGGGTGAAGGCAAGAAGTTGTTGTGTTTTTGGCTTATTTTCTAGAATTTGGATTTCGTGGATTTAATTACAATATTGAATATTCTTTAAATGTCTTTGGGGTAATTTGGATAGACACATTTAGATGCCGTAACTGTCATGAGATTGGTTGTGATGAGCTGAACTTTGGTTTTATAAGGAAATCTCTATTTCTTAAATTTTTAAGACAAATTTTGCTTAGCATTAATTTTAGACATCATTTTAAAGTTAAAGCTTTTTGTTCTTATGACAAAATTAAATCAGATGGAGTGTGTCGTTGTTATGATTGTTTGGGGTCAATGATTCAAATTATATATACTCAAAAAAGTAATAATTGAAACTTGACTCAATTATCTGAAAATAATACTTCATAAATATTCACAGCATGTGCCAGTGTAATGTGACCCTCTACACAATTTATTAAATTTGCAATTCCTTGAATTTAAGTTCTTCTATTTTTTATAGTAATTCACGAGAATTCACTATACTCCTACGACATGACTAGCGTCACATCTCAGAGATTCTAGAGTCTAGAGTGTCGAGAGATAACGATTACCTAACAAATCTAAAATACTCATAGCATTCATACTACGAATTGACTAGTAAATTCTCAAATAAAGTCATTTAAAACTCATTTTTGTTATGTCATTTGAGTCTGATTAATTTTTCACCTAATGAACAACAATAATAGCTTCCGTACCTATTTATCGACAGCATATGACTCATATAGAACATTTTTAAAGAATAAAATATAAAAATTCGCACGTTTCATTTAGAATAATAAGCAAATTCTATAATTTTCTTTTATTTATTCAAATTCCGTTTTTCTTCTTTTTATTATTTTTTGTTTAATTAAAAATTTGTGTTATCAGATCCAGTCAAATTAATTTGAATCAAAATATGAACCGTTCGTGATCTCATTTAAATTTTAAGTTTACACTCAAATGGCTTTGAACTTTGTCTTGTAGAACTAAAAAAAATGTTGTTATTAGATTCATGAGAATTTCGCTCTTTCCTGTTGATACTTTTTAAAAGTTAAAATTATTTTGATTTTTGTGCATTAAGCGAATTTTTAACGCCTTGTAAAATTTTGAATAATTGACGTTAATATTGAAAAATTTCTTCCACCTCGAAAAGTTTTTTACAACAAAATCTACTTAAATTTTCAATTTATCCACCAACTCAATTGCAGAACAGTTCAAAAAAGTGGCAAGCATCAAATAGTAAACATTTTGAGTCACTTTAGCTTTCTTCTCTCTAATAATTTCAATTTTATTATTTATAACAAGACGAAATGCTCACAAAACAGCAACTTATTCAGAAAACCTTGAAAATCTCAACTCAAAAGCCGGCAAATTACTTGAGAATGCCACACAGTAAGATTATTAATCTATTGAATACTAAACTTCTGTATCTAGAGAGTCAATTCAATTAAGTTTTCATTAAAATTGCTAATAAGCGGAAATTTTCAATCAATCAACGACGCAAATAATTTTTCTCAATTTATGTGTTATATTTTATTATTTAAATAGGCTCACAATAAGCATAAATGTACATGAGAATTATAAAACAATTTGTCAATTTTATGTACGCGGCGTTGATTCGTCGAGTCCTCGAACAGCAACAATGCCTTCAACATCAGACTCTTTTTTACCTTGTACAAAATCTTTGACAGCTGCATATCCAGTCTTACTTGATTCAGTGAATTTACCCCATGCAGTACTCAAAAATCCACCTGTCTTAGTAGCTGCTTCTTTTACAACATCTGATGCAACTGCTGTCTTATTTGATATGTAACTGACTGCACCTTGAACCTTTTCGTTTGCGACAAAATCAGAAAATCCATCAGAAACTGTGTCCTTTGCCTTTGTCAGTGAACATTTTGCATCTTCAATAAAATCAGAGTCTCCTTCTTTACGTTCAGCACAAGCTGCATTGGCGGTAGTTGCAGCAATTGCGAAAATCAAAATTGTCACGAAAAACTGTTTGTTCATGTTTATTTATATTTATATTTATTCTTTTTCTTTTCTCGTCTGAATTGATTGACGTCTCAAGCGCTACTGAAACAATTTTTTGTCTACTAAAAAATTCATAAATACACACACGAGAGTAAGAGAGAGGGAGAGGGTCGAGAGAAAAAAAAATTTTATTCACAATCGTCTTTATGCTTGTTTAAAGTGAGGCAGTAAATAAATGTAATTGACTTTTTATGTAAGCACGAATATGCTTGTTTGTATGTTAAACTTGTCTAATTTGCTTATTTTACTATGGAGTTACTCATAGATGACGTCTATCAGTTACGATAGTTCTATGACCTTTAATATAAAATTCCATTTATCCATAAATTCTTTAATAAAAAACAATTAGGAGACGTCATTTGTGAAAGACCCCCAATTGTGTTTTGTTGTTGCATAACGAATCAATTGTTAAACGTAATTTAGAAGTGTGAATGCAAATTGTTTGAGATAAATTTGATACAGATTGATTTGAGGTTGTTCTGGTGAGTCACTGATTGGAAAACCCGAGTGGATATCAAAATGTTTAGTAGTATTTTTGCTAATTGATGATTTTTATTATGTAAATTATGATTTCTGATGAAGGTTTATGACTAGCTTTGACGCTTATTTTTTTGAAGATTTTAATTGACTTGTGGGAATAAAATAATTTGTTAATTGATGTTAATAATTGACATTGAGAGAACTGAATGATTTGATCTTTTAGGGATGTCAATTTTATGAAACATGATTCTTTGGGTAGTGTTAATTAAGGGAATTAAGAGCTGTAATTGATCCTCGATTTAAGTATGTATTTAGTTCTAGAAAATTCGTGTTCAAATAGAATCCATGCCAATTGAGGATCCTTCTGTTCACAAGTATTATAGATTTAAGCTTGATCCAGTTTGTATCTCATTAGGGGATGTCCACTTTTGACGTCGACCGAAAATTAAATTTTCAGAACCCCACCACATGTGATAGTAAATCACCAATTATAAACTGAAGGTATAAATGCTAACGCCTTGCTAGGTTATGCTAAGCTATATAATACTGCTTTAACATCATTATCTTTGAATTTATATTCCCAGCATCTCATTTTATTAAAAACTATCATCTAATTTCATCACAACAAATTCATAATTCTATAAATTTCAAACTAGAAAAGAATCTTATTCAACTTTTTTTTTGAAAAAATAATGACACAAATGAAAAATCCAGATGCGAAACTCTCGAAAACAAGCCTGCTTGAAACATAAATTTCAGTTGCTCGTGGAAACTTTTTTATTAAAAACTTTTTAATAAAAGAGGAAGAAAAAAATCTGAAAACTTTCCACTAAAAACTCTCAAAAATTATTATTTTTTTGTTCTTTTAAAAATAGAGAAAAATAAGAAAATTATTTAGAAATCAAGGGAATGAAACTAGATGGGAATGTCATCGAACCTGGGGTGTAGTCATAAATGGACATTCACCATTTTCATTAGTAGAGATTAGGATGTAGTGGAGGTGTGGAGCTATATTAAAAAATAGCTTCTAATTTCAAGAGCCAACAGCAAAGCTACCCTGAAATAAATCATATTTCAGCAAATAATAAAAATATAATAAAATATTTATGAGATAAAAAATCATTTTCAACAACTTTATTTTATTTCTTATCAATTATTCAGTTTCTAAATCTCTCTCGAAAAAAAAATCCATTAAATTAAATTAAATTGCTTCTAAACGTCACAATCTATAAAAATAAATAATATGAAATATTTCTCAATATCACTCGTCGTACACACATTTTGTTGATATATTTCACACAAGCTTTCGACACCTTCCTTCAATATATTCCATGCCAGGTGCACACTGCATTCTAATATCCAAAATTCTCGCATGACGAACCACTCGACTATGATTATGTTGTTGTTGTGACACATTTGATTGATGCTCGAATCCATAAAGCGTCATGCCATTAAGAACTTTTACTATTGTACACAAAACTATCATAAATAAATTAATTTTCATAATGAATTTCATTTTTTGCTGTTGTTGCTTCTGCTGTTGCTTAAAACTTCACAACTTGACAATAATTTTTTTTGCCTGCCTTTTTTTTATCACAAGATGATGCTTCTTAATAGAATTGCGAAGAAAACTTTTAGAATCGACACAACAAAAAACAAAGTTTCTTGTATGTTCCAGCTAGCACAATATAAATGGAAAATTATCGAGGACTGCTCTTTTTATATATGAGAAATATGAAAAACTTTCTTTGTTAGTTTTCATCGGCAATGCAAAAAATAATAATATAAAAATATTGAGACAACAACGAGGCTAAGGAGAGAGAGGAAGTAAGGGAAAGGTGTGTTGTGGTGGGATTTGTGACGCACTTTGATGTTACTTTAATTAGAGGAGTATGGAATGCTGGATGATGGTAGATGTTTGTAAGCTTACAAGATTGCGCTTGTTACCGAAACTCACTAAATGCTCTATATAGGACTTAGATATTTGATCGTCAGATTTAAGAATTTGTAGAATCATAAAAGACTGTCCAAAGGATTCTTTCTAATTGATTTAAGAACTCATGTGATTGCAGGTCTCAAAATATTGAGGTTCATAGTCAAATAGATCTATATCCTTCCTTCATTTTAATAATCTTCTGGCATCCTGTAAATAAATTTTTCATGACCAAAACCAAATAACGATTAAACCAACGAGACAATCAGCCAACAACTGCTGTCAATTAGATCCTCAAAAAAATCATAATGTTATCTGATAAGGAACGGAAAATGTCTCTCAAAACTACAATGACAACAATGATGATGAACAAGAACTTTTCCATCAACAAAATCTGAAAGTTTTGTCTTCACTTTTAAGAACGGCGATTTGTTGAGTTTTTCTTTTACCATTCGTGAGACTTCATTGAGTTTTTAATTCAGTTTCTGTTTATTATTTTTATGTCTATTTGTGAGCTTTTGCATTTCATCTTGTTAATAATTGCAAAAGTTGTGCGCAACAATGAGAATTAAATTTTTAATTTATGAAGTTGATGAATTAATTAAGCGATAGAATTCTGTGGGAAGAGATGAGAATGCTTGAGAAAGGGGTCTCGAGATTCCTTCAATTTTCAATGTCACAGTTGTTGTGGCTGGGGTTTTGTATGGGTGGGAAAAATTGTGGAAAATTGTCACCAGGAAAAATTGACATTTTAAATGAAATTTCAACTTTATTTCCAAAAATCTTAAGATAAGCTTTAAACCAGTTAAAAAATCTACAAGTTTTCAAAATCACACCCACAGCCCCGTTCGCCCATATCTATCAATAAATAGCAAAAACCACTCGTGTGCATTCTGAATTGCTCATTAAATTGCAATTCAATAATAATTGAAATAAAATCACTCTAAGCACGTGAATTAAAAGTATTTACAATAGAAATTTATATTATTTAATTTGACGCAGCCGGCAATAAAATTGAATTAACCGGTTCGTTGGAATTTGGAGAGCGGTAGACTGAAAATGACACGAATTTATGGAATTTACGTCATTCAATTTAATTTTGGAGATAATTGTTTGTTTGTTTGTGGAATTTGGTGCTAAAATGTGTTTGAAAGTGTCCTGGAATGTAGAATTTTAAGATTTTTGTGGATTAAATGGAAATTTTTCAGGTACGCACTCAAAAGTTGGTCAATTGAACCTGATTATTTGAATTTTCTAAACTATCAACCCATTCAACTCCATCTTAGCTCTCAAAAAATCCACCAAATTTTCATTAACATTTTCTCACGTCATGATTGTCACAGTTGTTGTTGCTTTCCACAAAAGAAAACTTGCAACTCATTATCAACACTTTAAAAGTAAATTTTCTTCGTCTGAAAAAGTTTCATCGCCACATCTAAGGCAACCACAATTCAACATTAGCCCGACATTAAAAAAAAGTTTTGATGATGAAATTTAAATTTAAATATTGCATGATAATGGATGAACGGAAAGTTTTACCTTTAAATAATTTATAGCACTTGGTAGTTGTTGATTTTTCATTTTTGATGTGAGGCGGGATGGAATGGAAATTAAGAGTGAAGTGGAAGGGGATAAGGTGTAATGGGAATTGAAATTTAAAATTTCAGGAATTGAGTAGGACTAGTTGATGAATTTTTTATGATTTAATACAAATTAAGAGAATATTCATCCTCTAGTGACATGGTAAGATCTTCGAGGATTAAAGAAGTGGAGAGAATCGGTCAGACAACATTAGAACCCCCAAATTAAAATGAAATAAGTAAATCTAAAGTATTGTCAATATAACATTTGTTTGAACTTCATACTTAAAGCCTTGCTCAAATCTTGAATTTTTAATTACATTTACCAATATAAACTCAATTTCCTTATTTCAATCACTTCACAGCATCATCAAATTTTAAAGTGCATCCACAACTCTCATTCATACCTTTAAGCACCAAAAGTCGAGGTAGAAAGAGAAAATTTATTCCATTCTGATTTATAAATCAATAATAAATCAAATACGTGATGTATTTAAAAATGAGTTAATGTGAGAATAAAATTCCAGCAGTTTTGCAGCCACTGCTGCTTAATGTAGTGGCGCTTTCATATAAAAAAAGTTGTGCCAAAAAATCTAATTAGTTTCCATAACATAATTTTTTTTTCTATCCTCTTTTTTTTTCATTCATTAAGTTTTCTCATGCTCATCTGCTAATGATTTTCACTTGTGTATCTTTTAACTTTTCAATCTGACTTACTAAATGAATGAATGAATGGAAATGGATATTTCTCATATATGAATTTTATATAATTTCGTGAGTGCTTATTTAAGGAGAAAATAAGAACGAAATGAAAATTCACTGCATCCTCTAACTTCATTCTTTATGGTATATCCAAAACTTCAAAGGCAAAAACTTGTTAAAACTTCCACATCGGAAGATGTTTGGAAGGAGAATAAAAGAGTATCGTAAGGGAATGGTAAAATGAAATAAAAAAAGAATAAGGAAAGAAAAGAAGTAGAGAGTGGAATTTTTATGCAGTGAATTGATGCTATTATTAATCCAAATATAAGCGGTAAAGTCCGTGTAGTAGAAATTATTGGAGTCTGTTCAGTTTTAGGGACCACAAAACTAGATTCTCATGCATATAGTCAGGAATGGAACGTGTGCAGCTAGAACATTTCAAACAAACCACAATTCCCCCCAACCCACCCTTGAATTTTTCACCCAAACCTCTTTTCTAGGTTGAGTGTAGAACATTGAAGTCCATGTTCAATTGTGACCCTCGCTAAACCTTAAATTCCCTTCAACAAGCTCCCTAAATTCCTTCTCATTGTGCACGATTAACACAAACTCTCTATCCTAGACAGAAATCCAAAAAATAACATTTATTCTACTATTATAGCACAGCAGTAGTAGCAGTATCAGAACATAAGGCAGGAAAATGCTAGGAAAAAAAAATTAAATTCCACCAGAGATTAATAAAAAATTAGTATCACGTTCGAGAAGCTGTAAAAGAGCTGAAGAATGGAGAAAGAAAGAAAAAATAGAGAACAATTGCGAAGGTAGAGAAAGGAACTGGAATGAGTGAGTAAATGTTTACGTTTTGATGTACATATACATAATATCATAATCTTAAAGTTTTGTGGATGATGTGAAAGGAATGAGTTCATTGTAGTGAAGAAATGGACGTGATTAAAGTGTGTGTCTTGGGTTTGCTAGTTTTAGCACTGCATGCACTGAGAAAAATCACAAAAAATAAAGGGTTGGGTTCCAAACTAAGTATAGAAAAGTTTAAATCCTTTTAATTCTTTTGAATTGTTCGGAGTCAATTCCAGCCTAATTGAACACAACATAGTCGACACCAACCCAGTTGAGACTAACCTAGTCGAGACTAACCTAGTCAAATCCAACCTAGCCGAGATCAACCTAGTCGAATCCAACCTATTCAATTCCAACCAAGTCGAAATGTCTAGAAGTAAATCGAAGGATTTAAAACCTGATCCTAATTGATACGAATTCCAAATAAGCTCCATAAACTTCCGATTAAATGCTGTTATATTTCCTAGAATTTGTCTTAAAGATATATCTCAAATTCCTCTATTAAATTCTACATACTTCCATCCACCCCAACCCTCAAAAATTCTAATATCAAAATATTATTTACTAACTCACCAAGCAAGAGTAAGAAGTCAAATTATTCACATGTATGTGAGAAGATGAACATATAAACTTCTAGGCAATAAAGTTTTATCCATTTTTATTCAAAGAGAAAAAAGTAAGAAGCAGGAGAAAGGACGAGAACGAGATGTGGATGATATTTCGTGATCCTTAACTTACTTTTCATCTCATCTTCTTCTCAATTACATTTTTTTCCGCTAAATTTTGCTCCCCTTTCCATATGTGTTCATGGTCGAATGACCAAAAGGAACCTTTTTTTTCTGTCCATAGAATATTGAACGTCTATGCATGTGGAAATGAGGATAAAGATATAAAGAATACAAAAATGTTTTTTTGTATCCAAAAAAGATAGCAATCGATATCATTTGCATTCGATAAAGGCACTCGGAAGTCAATGATAAACTTTCTTTCCTGCTTGTTGTCTGCTTGTTATTTTGTCTTCTTCCCTACTCGAAGTGAGGAAAAACTTTATCGTTTGTTGCCAAAATATTCCTTTAACTCTGATGATCTTATTTTCCATGTATTTAACTGCAATTTTTCATAATTAGTGCTGCTTATGCTTCCTCTGTACTTTCCCTTTCTGGGAATTTCCGTGACAAATTTTTTTTGTTGTTGTGCCGTCAGAAAAAAAAGAGCTCATTTTTTTTGCTTCCTTTTCGTGCATGACGACACACAATTAACTTCATTTCATGTCATGGAACTGGTTTTGACTTAATTAGAATCATTAACACCAGTGGATGATGATAGAAATGTTAATGAGGCAGGATATGGCGCGGGATGGGGTGTATTGTGGTCTTAGATGAATTGATCTTTGCATTTTAGTGTTTTTTTTGGGTCAAATTTCAATACTTTATTATCAAAATATCTATTTATCGGTACCTTTTGCTATACTTAATGATTGTAGCTACAAAATAAGCAGTTGCCAAGCCTTCAAGATTCTAGAACTTTAACTTAAAAATGTCTACAAACCCGTTCATTCATAAATACTAAAATTTTAGACATTTCAATCCAAAATTGTCATCCAATATTATATATCAAGGTCGTCTTGAAAAGCATTGAGTCATGAATCGATACAGAGACAATCTTAAATAATGATAGTCATTATCCATAAGAGGAAAATTATTCAATTGCGAAATTTAGTTCTCATGAAATAATGCGTCATTCAGTCTTATTGTTCTATCGTTATTAGTCTTGTTCTAGTTAAAGTTCTGTTGGATTATTGAATAATTGCTAGGAATTTTTATTTTCTTTGGATTAAGGGTGATTGATAATTTGAATAAAGGTAAGAAGTTGTCTGGTTTATCGTTAAGTTTTTGGCAACATTATGTGAAAACTTTAGGGTAGTTCTGGGATTTTGAAATTGAAAAACATTTTTGAGTATTGAAATTTGAGGAGTAAAGTCATTCTCAAGCAAATATGCTCATCATCTGCTATTTTAAAAAGGTTCTATTTCAACCTTGAATCTTAATGGCCAGACAACACATTAAAATTCCTAATTTAATATTGTAAGGCAAAGGTTCGATTCTTTACATCATTTTGTAAGTGTTTTCTGATGTTGGTGCTCAAGTTTTCACTGCCATTAATTACAAACTTTGTAGGAAAACCATAATTGCTTATATTTGGCTCATCCAAATCTCTCCAAACTCCAACAATCCAAATTATCCTAAACATCTAGGTTAAAGACACAACAATTCCCTCTTATTACCAGTAAGTGAGACAAACTTTAATCGTTCGACATATATTCGTTTAACCCACATCCATTCCTACATTTTCATGATATAAAGGAAAACTTTCAATCAGTTTTGTTTCCTCAAATGACTCTTTAACCTTTCCTCATTCACAAGGAGACAAACTAACTTTAAGAACAGCAAATTTCACCTTCATCCAAGCACTTTTCACCTCTATTTCTCATAAAACACGATGAAAAAGAAAGTAGATAAACTTTATGACATCTCAACAGAAGTAAAGATTATCAAGACGTGATCTATAGGACGATAAATAAACAAGTCAAACAAGCAAGATAGAAAGGAAAAAAAAAAAACTTTAATTCATTGCCACTGAGAAATAAACATGAACATACAAAACGGTAAAGAAGGATGAAAATAATGCTCACACACACACATTGCTGGTCAGTAAAATTAATTGCTCATGAAAACCTTTGAGCCCAGATGCTCTCGGCATGTGCGTCAAAATGCTGTTGAGGAAGGAGGGTTGAAAAAGTGGAGGGGAATTAAATGTGTGAGATAAACTGAAAGTTCGTTTAATTAATTTCCTTGGCCACGACCAGACTTCTTCTCATATTTAATTCATATGTGCGAATGTATAAGTAAAACTATAAAAACTTGCAAAAATGTAGATGGAAGGATGCGTGCTGTGAAAATGAAAATAAATATCTATCGGATATACATTAATTTGCTGCATGGATGAAAATGAGGAAATTTTATCTTTATTTTAAGTGGCTAGAATTGGGGCTGTTTAAGCTTTTGAAGGCAATGCAGCATTTTTGTACCTGGATTTTGGGTATCTGTAGTCCAAGAATAATAACTTATTGAGGTTATGGTGCCACCGCATAGAATCTTAGATATTGATTTAGCAAAACCATCCCTAATTCCTAATGATTCCCCAAAAAGATCATCAAAGGCTGGCGCAAGCGATAAAAGATAATAAAGGAATTAAGAACACATGTGTGCGATCACTCTTCATTGCCAGAGAACTCATAAAAAATTACAACTTTTATTGTGAACGGAAGAAGAAAGGAAAGCAGCACAACAACAACAGCAAAAAACTTTTCATTTCCGGCCTTTTCTTAATTTCACACCACAATTTGCGACTAAGTTGGCTAAACATGTGCCAGATGGTTTTAGCCTTCAAAGTTTTCTTGCAATTTGTGTGCTTTTATCTCTTAATTATTTGTGAGCAATTTATTTTATTTTAGTTTTGTTGTTTGCTGTGCTGAGTGAGTTTCGGCAATCAATATGATAGGAAAATGTGTGTTTTGGATTTGTTTTTGTGTTGTCGTAGTCACTTTTATTTTAAGGAGGTTCAATTGAATTAAATAATGCTGAACTGTTCATTCTTTATTGCAGGTAGTTAATACATACTTAAAATATTCATAAATTGCAAAAAATGAAATTTTTGCCGCCTGCAAAATGTAAGTATGACTTCTTGCTGAAAATGTCATCTACAACCTTTTTAATTCTAGATCCAATGGTTGAATCATGGCTCTTTTTCGGTTCACCAACTCCAATGCTGATAATCTTCACAATCTACCTTTTATCTGTCATTATCGGATCAAAAATAATGAAAAATCGGAAGCCCTTAAAGCTACACTCCCTCATCAGAGTTTACAATCTCTTACAAATTGCCGGATGCACATATTTCTCATATATTGCACATTTTAAATTCGGATATAATGCATTAAAGTCAACTTGGAGATGTGAGACGAATGACATGTACATCGATACTTACGATGATCTTGTGCAAGTTTTTAGTCTCAGCTGGATGTTCTTTTGGTTGCGACTTATTGAACTTCTTGAGACAATTTTCTTCATTTTAAGGAAGAAGCAGAAGCAAGTATCAGTTCTACATGTTTATCATCATATCAGTACTTTGGTGTTTTTGTACCTTGGAAGTCGATATTCAGCAGGTGAGTTGCCACAAAAATTAGTGACAATATTTAAATATTTCTGACTCAATTTCCGTTCATATTTCAGAGGTCATGGACATCTACTGTGTCGTCATCAACAACGATGTTCACATATTGATGTACATTTATTATTTCCTGAGCTCTTTCAAAGCTTTACAGGCATGGCTATTGAAGTTAAAGCCTGTAATGACAACAATACAAATAATTCAACTCATTCTTATCTTTGGACAGTGTGTTGCTGAGGAAGTTTGTGGAACATGTCATCTGTTTCATTTGGGAATGTTTCAGATCACTGTTTTGTTAATGTTTTTTGGGAATTTCTATTATCAGAATTATATGAAGATGAAGGCAAGGAAGATTGATGCGAGAATGGGTTTAAAAATTGATTGAAGTTTTGGATTTGATTTGGATTTGACAGAAACTTTTTTAAGGTTTAGTAAAAAATTTAAACCCAACTTCAACCTCCTAGCTTCACTCCTAGATGTAAGAAATAGAATGTAGAGTTCCAAAAAATAGAAAATAAAATTCACAGCACCAAAATTCAACTAATTAAAAACAATTCTGCTTCTAATTCCATCAGAAATCACCACCATCTATCCATACCCCCCAAAAAAAACTTTTTATTCCGTCTGGTCTGATTTTGTGAATCGAAAGAAGAACTAGATTAATTTTAAATAATTATTCTTTATCTCTTCAAACTCTTTTAATTTTAAACGAAGAAGTTAGTCAAGTGTGAAGAACTATTGTGGTAATTAAGAGCAATTTCATTTCGAGATTTAATCGCTGTGATAATGGAATGTTAATGATCTGTGGCAATTGTTTGATGAGCTCTGTGAAATTAGTCACCTCTTTAAATACTTTGAGACCTGATTATGTATTCATGACAGAACTTCTTAATCGATTTTGAAGTTGAAATTAAATTTTTGGATTAATCCCATCCACAAGTTGCAATTATAAAATCTTTACAGCAACAAATCCGAGAAAAAGAGATTCTTGATGAAAAATCTTCATCAAATGTGAAGTCATAAAAATGATGAAGAAGAAAAACATGTGAATATAGGTGGTACATAAAGGTATGACGGAAATGAATGACATGACATAAGAAATAAATTTTCTACCATTTTTTTTCTCTCTCTTTTATTTGATTAAAAAAATCTTTTTTACACCATTGTTGATGTGAAACTGCTGTGAGTGGTGAGAGAAATGGGAGCAACGGAAGAAAAATTATTTCACATATGAGTGAAGGATATCACAACATGACGTCATCAAATCAGTGAGTGGAAGCATATTTTCATTCGTGTTGTTATTAAATCTTGATAATGTGTAAAAGATTATTCCTCCCATGTCGCTGGAGTTGAGGAATTTTTTTCTGAGTTTTGATTTTGTGCTGGATGTGTTGTCTTCTACTTGATGAGTTTGATGTGTCACTGCAAAATTTATGAATAAGTTGTAGTGATTTTAGAGAACTCTTCTGGTGATAAATCTTCAACATAAAGCTTGTAGGGTCAACTAGACTTAGATGTTAATCTCATTCTTATAGAATCAAACACTTAGACACCCTTAGGTCCATTGACCCATAACCCACTTGATCTCTAAGATCCCCAAGTCATTAGATATCGCAGCAACTGTTCCCAAAACATTCCGTTCACACACTCAATCCTTCAAATCATCCCCTTATGTCAATGACATTATAAACTTTTATCATCGACAAAAGTTTTATGTGACTATATACATGCCAGTTTGATCCATATATGTCATTAGTTTCATCAAGAACAAATTGAGTTATAAGAAAAACTTTTGCCTCTGTTTGCTCATTTTCCTCAATATTTCATCTTCTTAGTGCTGCTCAAGTATGTATTTCCTCTCCATCATTATCAGAAAATCATGTCGAAAATTTGCTGAGATTGAGAGAAAAAATTGATGTTTGTGTGTGAGAAAGTAATGGATTAGATAAACAGTAAACAACTTTCTCTGCAGCAATTAAGCAGTCGTTGTAAATTAAGCAACAATAAACAACAAACATTAATCTCATCACGACTTTCTTTATCGTTTCCTGGATCGGATGTGTTTTTTTGTAATTTTTTAGGGGGTGGGGGGTTTAATTTCACAAAACTCTAGAGTCAATTATGGAGTCATCTACAAGGGTGCTTAAAAAATTGACGATTGTTGCCCAAAGTCAAATTAAATCCACAGCACAACAAATTTTCTTTCAAATTCTTGAAAAAATATTTTTTCGCTTATAAAATCACAAAACAAAAGATTTCCCATCACAACAGTTCACTTGCCTTTTCCATTCCGTGTTAATCCTTTCATTTAATTTTTAATTCTTTTATCTCATGCCATATCCATCCATCCTTCAAGCTTCTTTAATATTTCATAAGTGGAAAATGAGAAATCACATAAAAGCGCAACAAATTTATGATATTATTATTGTATTTTCCAATTATGCTTCATGCAAGCATGCATCATTTTTCATAGAGTGTGTGAGATGTGCAGAATGAGAATAAAGAAATCATTTTGATAAATATAAATTTGTTCTTCATATGAGTATTTCTTCATCTGTATCTTCATGATGCATGCTTGGATGAATGTGAGAAATGCTTCACTTCAAGATGAAAAGGAAGCAAGGAGCAGCAAAAGTCACATTAAAAATTAAAGTCAAAACTCAAAATAAAAAGATGCGAGATTGGAGGTGAAATAAGTGAAGAGTTGGAGTTGATTGATGGGTTTGGTGGTTTATAGCGCATTTTTTGGGAGATTGTAGAAACTTTTGGTATCCAATCATTTGACTACTGCGTAGTAGGACGTCAATTGAATCACAGTGCCTCCAGCTGAAAGGATGGCCCCATCACACATTATTATTATTAAATAGGACGTCTGTGCTTAAGTTTTGTACCAAGTAACTCCCATAAAACATGACAAATGCACCTAATTTGACAAGCTCTCCATGAAACCCCTCGCAACATACCCAAAAAACTCAACCAACAAGCCTCAGCAAAACTGCATCATTCACAGTAAAGAAAACTTGCATTAAAGCTCATCCTGAACATGATAAGCGCAATGTAAATCGCAGAAGAAAAAAAAGATTATAAAAATTTATTTTTATTTGTTATTCTATGTGCACTCATACGTACATCTACATTTATATGAGTCTTATATGTTGAGGAATGAAGAAGAAGAAAATATGTTGAATAATCATTCAGGTGGAAAATGTTTATACATTTATTATCGCAGCATGGAGCAAGCAAAAAAAACATATTTTTCCCTTTTCTTATTTGATTATGTTTAATTTACACTCATAAATTTTATTTCTGCTTTATTGCTGTTGGCTGATGTCCTAGTAAAGATTTTGAGGCGATTTATGCAGAGATTAAGGTGAGAATTTGTTAGAATTTTAAAATGGTTTGGAGTTTAAGGCAAAGGAGGGTCAATTTTGATTTAATGCAGCACTTGCCGGAGAGCAATTTGCTAATCATGTTAACATTGATTCCTACATTTTTGCAAGCGTCCCTAAAATTGAACCAGGAATCTTAATATCCTAATCTCTTTGAAAAGATCCTGCAACATTTCATCACTAGGGTTGTTCCTTTACTGCTTCCACAGCTCTTTCTGTTGCTTTTCTTCAAGGCTACATAGAAACATTTTGTTTGTTCTACTCATTTCAGTGATTTTATTTGCTGATTCACTTTTTCGTCTCTTCTTTGCAAATCTCATATAGAAATGATTTTTGTTGAGCTGTAAATGCAACAAATCTCATACTCAGTTGAATTAAATTAGGTTCTTATTTTTTGTTATTTTTTGAGCATAAAAGAATAGCTTGAAACAGATTTTTGGAAGGTCTCAATCTCAAAATAAATTGATTCTAGCTTCAAGCTAGCAAAATCTATGAAAAAATTAGCTAAACATCAAGTCAACATTTACCTTAAGAATCTACAAACAAAACAGCCATAAAAAATTAAATTCCCTCGTTCTTGTTGCTGCATTTTATTCTCTCGACAAAACATCCATCTCCCTCTCTATCTCCGTCTGGATCACTCCTTATTTATTTGATAAACAATTGCACATTGCAATGAATCCAGCAAATGAAAATGAAATAAAGCGCATAAAGAAGAAGAAGCGACAATGACAGTGTCACATGTCGTGGCGCTAGAAGAAAAACACAACAGCTATAAAAGAAAAGGTGAACTTTAAATTCAGGGAAAATTACAAAGTTTATCCTTCTTCTTGTGTAAGCAATAACGTTGCAATAAAAACAAAAGACAACAGAAATTGCATGGGAATGGAAAGATGTAAGACAGATAAGGATGCGATGAGACTTGATTTATTGAGTTGATTACGAGATTTTATTATATTGCTTATAAGGAAGAAGAGAGGAAAATTAAATGAACAGAGGAAATTTGTTGCTTCCTTTTTAATTTTTCTTTGCTTGCCTTCTGGGAAATTTTAACATCATGCTTTGATCATGAACTTTGGTGCGATGAGGAGATTCTAGAAAAACTTCTGATAGTTATTGACAATTTTAGTTTAGGATTCCTTCAATCGAAATTAATTTTTGGAGAAGGGTGTGTCGGGTAAACCTAGAAAGCGGGACCAGAAGAGGAAACAAGGCTATTTGGAGTTTTATTTAATTTGCAATAATATTTTTTCTAGTAAAGCAAAGTCTAAATAATTATTGTAGTGTCTGAGCAAAGGAGAATCTGAGATATTGATTCATATATAGACAGATCTGCCATTGCAAGAATCAGACCTCTGTAGCACGGAGGTTCGATAACAAACCAGATATTTGCAATCCTTATCTATAAGGACGTGTGTTTGATTCCTAGCAGATCGATATCTCATCATTAAAAAGAGTGTTGTCGATATGACAAGGATTAGCTCACGACGTTACAATTGTAGAAGAGTTTTGTACATTTCTAAATGATTTAAACTTCAATTTAAATTCAATTTACTTAATTTTAATCTTTATTTTTCATTTACATTTCATTTTACACATTTAGATTCAAATATGACACTTAGTGATCTATACTTTTTCACAATTTTAATAAAAGTTAATTTACTTTACTGAAAAGGTTTCAACTTATCAATTAAATATGAGCAATGTCAAATTTTTTAAAATTTTAACTTTAATTTACTTAATTTGACAATGAAATATATTCACACAAATTTGAAAATTTGGTGTAAATATGATTTTATAATTGAGGTATTATTTCTTTACAAATTTACTTAATTTTAACATTTATTATACAACTTTTGCTAGAAAGCTCATAAATTAAGGATTACTTAATAAGGTTTAATTTTGTTCGGTTATAAGGTTAAAAATTTGTGAAAATCGGAATAAGAGGGAATTGGAACGAAAAGCAAAACTGAACAAAACCGACAAAAATTTTGTCAATTTTTAATTTTTGAGCAATGAAGTTAAAATTTTTTAAAATAAAATTTAAACAAATGAATATAAGTGCTAATACCTTTTTGTAGACAAAAGGATCAACATAGGTACAAGAAAATACTACAAAATATATTTAGCAGTCAAAAGAAATTTGAAAATTTATAAACTCTACATTTAGCGCCATCTACTTTTGAAAAGCAAAACTACAAAAATTTCAGATACTATAAACTGCTATAAATTCCTCACTTTTGATTTTTTTAAATGTGAATGAACTATAGTTTTACTAATTGCTCCTAAAGTTTTGAAAAATCAAAGTCAAAAGTTGAAAAAATAAATATTTTAAAATGCGCAAAATTTCAAATTTCTTTCGAATAAATTAAAATATTTGTAATAACTTCTATGACTAATATCACAGATAATATTATCTTATTCATATTTTTATGACAGAAAAATTGTTGTAAGGTCATAAAATTTTCATATCCCGCAATTTTTCTGTCTAAAATATGACTCAAAGATTGTTCGGTATGGTCAAGTTAACTCTTTTGTTCAGATATCCTCCTTTTGGCTTTAATTGGTTATTCAATTGTTGCTTATAATCAGCGATCGTATACAAAGATTGCTAAAAAATTAGACAAAAATTTAATAAAAGTTCAAAAAAAATTTCAAAATTTTCATTACATTTCTGGCATCAGCAAGTTCAATTCTACCCAATTTCTGTAAAGCTCTCAAATTTCTGTTAACAATTTGACCAAACTCAGCCCTAGAAATTCTATATCTCTCAGTTGTTGTCTCGCCTGGCTCTGATGTCGTTTGTGGTGGCTACAAAAAATAAAATAATTCAATTTTCCAATAAAAAATAAAATCAATTAAAAAATCATCAGTTTTACTCCTTTCGTTGCTGTATCAGAAAATTGATCTTGTATGATGTCCCTTAATTGTTTAAAGGCATTCGATGTGTCATTGTATTGCTGCAGAAAGCAAAAAACAAGAAAATGAAAAATAAAAAAGATTAATTAAACATAATTAATTGACATGCTTATGTGAAGGTTACCTGAAACAACAATCCACCCAGATATGCAACCTTTCCAAAGAATCCCAATGGTTTTGGTTTAAGGAACGATCTCGTTTGCCTTGCATGATCAGCACTTCGAGCGATGACCTATTTATAATGATTGAGAATGGGAAATGTTTCGTGATAAAATTGAAAATGAAAGTACAAATAAATGTGGAACAGGTTTGCAGACATTATCCACTGGCCATTCACCAATTCCAAATCGGTAATGAAAAATATTGAAAGGAAAAATGTTTTTTTTTTTTTTGTTATTGGAAGTGGATTAAAAACAATAAATTGGAGTGTGTTATTGGTTTGTGGGTAATTGGAATGCAAGACATCGACATAGCTGATTTGCTGGGCATTTTGTTGCTGTGCTATAAAGCTGTTAGTAATATTATGTCGTTGCTTAGCCAGCTAGTTTTGTTGTTGACTGTTGTTGACTCTATTGATGTCCATTTAATCCTTCGGAGGCTCTAGTTCCTTCTGATCCAAATCTGTAGACTTGTACACTTCAAGTTTTCATTTGAACCGGTCTCTAATGCCACTTCCAAATGAGTACACTTAATTAGCATAAAAAGCTATCCAACAGCCATTAATTCAACAGCACACATTCAAAAAATTCGCAAAAAAAAACTTTTAACTCACGTGATGATGATGTTCATGATCATTCCTTATCTCACCGCTTAGCTCTGACATAACCAGCGTTGCAAATAACAATACGATCCATTTACTGAACATTGCTATGGCCTTTTGTATGATAATTTTTTAAATAAGAAGAAAACTTTTTTTTTTGGCACTGGTGCGAAATTTTTTGGTCTGTGAACTTCCGAATGGTCAATAACCTGGATTTTATATAGCTGAAAGTCTTTTTTTATGATGAAGATGCAAAATTTTCGAAGATCTGTAAGCGAGAATGTAAAGAAAGAAAAATGTTAAGAGAGTCAAGAAGAAGAAAATCCCAGATGAATGTGCATAATTTATTGAGTAATTTGAGCAGACATAACAAAGATTTGCATAGCAACTGTTGCAGACATAGATGGGAAGGTATTGTTGAGCATGAAAATTTAATTATTTGGTATTTGATCATTGAAAATGAAATCTTTCAGTCAAATAAGTTCTAGAATTGCTTGTATAAAATTCAAAGGTCTCCAAAAAGTTTTGCATTGCGAATCTTCAGTTACATCATACTGACCATCATGACCTTTTCCATTTAAGAAACATTATCTTCTTGCTGAGCGTACTAATTCGGTAAATTTAACGTTTCAGTTTAAATAAAATAAATATAAATTCATATTTTATTTAAATTGAATTGCACATTTTAAAATTAATATTAATAAAATTGTTTTAATCTCATCAACAGCATCTTTGAAGTCCGTTGATGTGAAGATATTAAAGTTAAAATTAATTACCAAATTTGCAGACGGATTTGCATTAATTATTATAAAGTTTATTGTCCATTTAGCCAGTCATTGCAGAAATCTACGATTTCCAATGTCTCGATTAATTTCAAGTCTTGCACGATTTTCAAGAATATAACTTTGAATTGAATGTTCTAAAATGTCGCGTTGTTCATAGAAAGGCTATCATGTGGATCCCAAAATTTACTTATCATGCTTAAATTATATAACTTTACAATATTAACCTAAAAATTCTAAGCTTTGATGCTGAAGCGTATATCCAAATGCCTTATCATGTCAGTCAAACTCATAAATATTTGAATTATTTATAAAAAAATTTGCTGTTTTTGGTCATAAACCAATAAAAAAGCAGATTAAGCTCAAGAAAACTTTTTTGAAATGAAAATGACCAAAATTTGTCACTGATGGAAGTTAAGTCATTCGACACATGAGAAATAAAAAATTTAAAATATTTTTGATCAGCTTGATGCTGAATAATTCCACAATTTAGATGCTTTATTATCAATTTAATTGGAAATGACCAAAAAGCAATAAAATTAATGGAACATCAAGATTATCACTGAATATTAAAAAATATTTAAAAACATAGTTTGATGAGTGATTTGTGCTGATCATTTTGATAAGAAATATTCCGACTGTAAACTGTGAGAAAACTTTTAAAGCTTTAAAAGGATACACACAGCTTTAAAATGATTAGCACATGAATGAAAGATAGTGGGCAAGATCAGAAAAAAAGGGAATAAATATTCAAATTCAGATTTCTCTGCTTTTAATAACTTAATTAATATGATTCCTTCACTACATGATAGCTAATAATAGTAAGTTTCTTTTTAACATTCATTTTTCAAAATGGCGACTTATTAAGTTAGTTTAATCAACAAATTAATATTTGAAATCGATTTTTCTTTGAAAAGAAAGCAAGATAAATGTTTGGAAGCTTGACAAAAGTTGTAGAGCTTGCTTTTTTCTATCATGAGATCAAAATAGATTTTATTAAAAATGAGTTATTTTAGTTAAATTAACTGAAAACCAAATTGAATGTAAAATGTATTTTTAAATCAAAACTATTAACCTTAATCGGTCAAGAACAATTACTTGATATCTAAAGAGTCTTTTACTATTTAATTTACATTCGAAAAAGGCTTAAAAGTAAGTTAAATTAACTATAAAAACAATGAAATTTAAGTTGAGCAACAAATTTTGCTCTTATTTGCTCACAAATTTATAATTTTAAAAACCGTTACAAAATTTTTGGTCAAATTTTTTACTATAATTTAATTTTCTCTGCTTGTCTTGAACAAAAAGTAATATTTCTTTTGCAATATGATAAACATTGTTGAATTCTATAGTTTGAAATGAAAAAATCAGTAGACGAATAACACAGCAATGACTTATGACTAGTTTTGTAAAACTCATCATAACTTGGTTAATTATAGTAGAGTTGAAAATTTTCTCTCACAAACTTAAAGAAAATTACATATGTAACCTTTTTTGTAAAGAAAGCTAGTTCCTAAACTATTTCCTTCATATCAAAATTTCAGCTTCAACATTTTAAAGCTGAATTAAGCTAACTTACAAACCCGCCATTTTGTATATTTTAGACAAAACTTTTAATGATTTGATTACTTAATTATCTGGTGAAAAAATCGTTTTGATTAATGAAGTATTCGCAGAGATATTACATTTGCAACATGGTGTAAAATCGAATTTCCTCAAAATTGTTCGTGACGCTTAGCACTTTAAATTAATTTTTAATTATAATACAATGTCTAAGAGATACTTGTTATACACCAAAATATAGGTCTTGGCAAGGACTTTAAGAAAAACACAAGTCTTAAATACATATTTCGCATTATTGATTCAAAAAGTGTAAATTATTGTTAAGCGTCACGAACAATTCATTTTTGATCTTGCCCTAGTAAAAAGTACAAAGTGAAAACAAGCAATTACATTGGCGCCATCAACACATTATTGTCATTGCAGTGATCACGAAGATGAAGATCATCATGTATCACAGCATGTGAGCCAAAGGTCAATCAATTATGGAAATTCATCAATATTTGTTAACATTAAATAATGCAAATTTAATTTTTATGGTTCTTGCGAGTGTGCTGATGTCATTCATTGATTAAAAGATTCAGTTTTGTGGATCATATGTTGAGATTTTATTAAGAAAGAGTAAAAGTTCATAAATTCCTCCAGCATGGCTTCTGTATCTAGGTCGTGTCAGTATTTTGAATTTGATAATAATTTCAGTGTCTAGCTTATGATTGTAATCAATTCAAAGACATTATCATAAGTCATGCAACCCTTTGAACACTTACTGAATCTAAAGTTCATATCAAAGATCATAAAAAGCCACTTCTTATCTAACTCTTGCTCATGCTGATATTGCTAGGAGCTAAATATACGGGTAATTTATAAAATTATATGAAATAAAATTATTTCTCGTTACATAAATTCCATTAATTTTTCATCCGAATTCCAAAATAAATTTTTAACCAGTGTAATTTATTTTATCCTATTTGATCAAGTCATTGAGCCTACAATTAATCTGTTTTTGCCAACAAAAAGTCTTTAAAATATAAAACATAGCAATTTATAGTGAGTTCTATGATTATATACTCTAACCTTTACACAAAAGGAAATTATTAATTTGAAAAGTCACTCGATACAAGGCAATCATTCATTCTGTTTTCATCAATCGCATTAGGGCTTGTTAATGACATTTTATCTCTTCAATTTTTAAAGACAAATGTGTTAAGTTCAATGCAAGATAATCGAAACATTTTAAATTGCTTGTGTTGCCCAAAATAATCAATCAAAGTTGAAGCATACTGAGTGAGTTTGGATTACTTTTTTCCATAAATGGTTAATTGTGGATTTATCGACGAAAAGTGGTCAATTTTAATAACAAGGTTTTAATGAGTATATTATTTTTTTGGAAGCAGTTTTAGCTTTTTTATGGAATTAAATGGAAGTTTAAAGTTTTGTTGAAGATTTTTAGTGGGACTTGAACACAAGCATCTTGATGTTTGAATTCAGAATCTCTAGAATGAAGCTTTATTCCTGATTGGCTCATGAATTTTGAGCTGTTTTATGATTTTAAGTTTGCTGGCTTCTTAGCCTGAACTGTGTTAAATGGGCACTGTATTCTGTGGTTGCTAGGGTACCCTTATCATGATATAATAATGTGCGAGGGTTCCAGCCAAGTGATGTGTTACTACACGTTGGACGAGCTAGAGGCACTGCGATCCTGATCGATGATATTATCAATTGTATGTACACTTATCCTAAGTTCATAGATTTTTGAAAGGGTGACTCAAAGAGTCCTTATCAGACCTTTTAAGACAAGCTCAAAGATGGATCCTAGCATAAACAATTTATACAACAGAAGCAGCAAATTATTAAGACCATAAGATCAAGTAAAATACCAATTTATATGCTAAAGACTTCCATACCAACTCACATACATGCCGCTTATCCACTTCATTATACTTAAATCAGCTATGTAAGCAAACAACTGCATAAACTTTTTTTTATAGACTCGCAAAAATGTCCAATTCACTTTCAGTGGCTACAACAATAAAACATCCAATGATGAAAGCGACAAAACTTGCATTTTGCAATCTTTACTGCAGCTGCATTACTAATTGAGTTCAATGTTTTCCAACTAATCGATTAAATTATACTAAAAATCATAATTATATTAAAATATTTGTGATAATTGAATCATGACCTAGATTAACATTTAACAAAAAAGTATGAGTATGAGAAAAAAATTCATCGTACGAAATATTCACATGGAAGAAAACGAAAGCAGAAATACAAAAATAAAGCTTCTTCTTATTTCAGTATTTAACACACATATGTCAGAGAAAGAGAGTCTATATCACGGTCAAGCTGATTGTTATATCATCATTCATAATGTCGAGTTTTGCATGCAAATTAATTTAAAAATATTTATCGTCCTCATAATTTCATTATAAATTTATGGGTTGATAGTCTGCGGGTGACATTTTAAATCTTAAGATTTGATTCCAGATGTCAATCCAACTGCTCGTTAAGTCCCTTCAATAAAATTATGTATCTCCTAATTTTATCCCAACTCACAACTCTAGGAATGCAGCAATTAAGTCATAAGTCTCATATATTGTAAGCCAAAGCTATGCTTCGCATTACAAACGCGATAAAAACTTCAACAAAGAAAGAAATAACAATAAACTACGCGCGTGTTAATTGTAAAATGCTTAAATGCGATTAGATTAAGTTATGGCACTGGACATATGGAAAATAATCTCTTTTACAGTTCAAAATGATTGACATATCATGAATGATTGAAATCAGTGTTGCAAATGTAGATGTCTACACCAGAGGTCGAAGCCGACATGAGTTCGCTCCGGTTCGCTAAAAAACCGATTCGATAACCGGTAAATTTGTATAGAATGTTAAAGTTCACAAGTGGCAGCAGAAAAAATTCTAT